GTTATGGTGTTTGGGAAAAAGGCTCATAAATGCACTTTTAACACTATCTCTGTTTTTGGTCTCACTCCTTTACTTGCTGTTTCTGCTCTCCCTCTCAGTTTTCTCATCTCTCTTGCTCTGCCTCTGCTCTGTAGTGGTGTTTGGTAAAGGCTTATTGTCATATCACAGAATAAACAGAATCATGGAAGGTCGTATCAGGGTGTTTCTGTTATAGAATATATAGTAATATTTAATATTTCTGCACAGATGAAGGTGGGTTAGACTGCCAGTGTAATGGACATGCTTCGGTATTATTTCCGTGTTCGTCCTTCTCCATTACAGTTTTTTTCTCCCTCATATTTTATACCACTCATTCTGTAGCCTCAGTGTCTATTCTTTTCTCTTTCTCTTGTTATCCCTCCCTGTTTTCCTCCTCCCACCCTCTCTCCCTCTCTCTCCCCCTCCCTCTCTCGCTGCAGTATCTGGGTGAAAGTTCAACTGCATTGCCTCCAATCCCCTTCAGCCGTCAGCAACAGCCTCTGTTTCTGTCCGTCTGCAGTTACGTTTGTGTACATTCGTACATTGTGTTTTTGTTCTTCATTCTACATATAAGCGTTATTTGATCAAATGCTAGCTGTATACATTGTATGCAATGCATGATGTAATGCTGCAGCATACATACACACACGCACACACATACACACACAGAATGTTCTCAGATGTAGAGTATTATTGGCTCAGATGTGAGAGGCTGTTACGTAAGAAATCTGTCTGCACTACATATGGATGTGGGAGAAGAGACAGCATATGTGTGTTCGTTTACATGTGTTTGTGGATGTTGATTGAAGTCCACGTATATCACTGTACATCACAGCCATACAGAAACAGAACTGATTAAATCAAATATGAAGTATATTTGTGCTGACATTGTAAATATTTATATGCATATTAAGCATTTGAGAACATCATATTTAAAACACTGATTAACAGTTTATTTGCTTCATATATATATAGATATATATATATATATAGATAGATAGATAGATAGATATGTGTGTGTGTGTGTGTGTGTGTGTGTGTGTGTGTGTGTGTGTACACACACAGTAGGATTAGTTAGGATCTCAGTCATCCCTAACTGGTCATTAGTATCATTACCATGAAGATGCTACTAAAACAAAGATGAATGTTACTCATATGGGTGCTCAGAAAGATAATATGCTGCAGGTATAGTTGTTGCACTGCTTTATGTATTGTGAGCTAAAACCAGTACTGGTGTTTACTCGTTTTCATCACTGGTGTTTTTGTAATCACTGTTTTTGTTATCAGTTTGTAATAAAAATAGTTAAGGAGTATTAATTGTTGTAGTTAGCAATAGGACAGAATTTATGAATTAGCTAGAGGACCAGCTGATTCAGGAAACATCAGATGGAAGCTGAATGACCCCAGTGTTTGCTGAGGCCTGTGTTGTTTTGGGGCCAGTTTAAAAGTGACCCACCCACTTGATTCAGAGCATTAGTCCTCCTGATCTGCAAACTAATACACTCACTCTTTCTCTCTCTCTCTCTCTCTCTCTCTCGCACACACACACACACACACTCACACTGACAGTATGTTAGGTTTGTCACTACGTTTTGATTTTCCCATCTAGTGGAAGAATGAAGAATAGCTGTTGAATCCTTTCATTAGCTACAGTTGCTTTTAAAAGCACATTTTCTTTTCAGTAGAGCCAGAGAGGCCAAGCCAAGACTAGGACACTATTTAGGCTTGTATATTCTGTGGCTCTGACAAGACAAGACATAATGTGAAGTATGAAATTTGCTTTGTTGGCAGTGTCAACCTAATTGCTTTCAAACCTTACAGTGTATGTACTCATCTACTCATCTATTAAGTTAGTTCCTTTTAAAGAAATTAAAGCAGTATTACATCTTTTAACTTCTGAACTTGTCCTCACCTAAGACTCAGTAGATCCAGTACATCATAAATTAGAAATTTTGAAAAACTGGTGGAATTTCCTTTTAACAACAGGCATACTAGAAAGTAATATTAGGATATGCATATATGTAAGGTAGATAATATAAGGGAGTTTGCTGCAGTGACTCTTCTGGGAAGGCTTTAAACTAGATGTTGGAATGGGTGCACCTTGAAGTAGCTGATTTCACTAATTAGAAGGGGTGTCTACAAATCTTTGGACATTTATTGTATTTTCCAGGCAAAGAAACAAGTTTGGATAGAAAAACGTGCCATCTAGTGGCTAAACTCTGTATGATCCCTTTCTCATGGTGCGAACACATGGATACGCCATCTAGTGGCTAAACTCTGTATGATCCCTTTCTCATGGTGCGAACACATGGATACGCCATCTAGTGGCTAAACTCTGTATGATCCCTTTCTCATGGTGCGAACACATGGATACGCCATCTAGTGGCTAAACTCTGTATGCTCTTTTTCTCATGGTGAGAACACATGGAGCGTTTTAAAGGGCCCATATCCTACATTTTTATTGTATTTTTCCCTGCCCACTTATGTTTGTGTGGTTTTATGTGCTCAAAACAGTCTTATACATTGGATAGTTCCGGTCCTAAAGTCTGATTGGCTGAGCCGCGTTCGAAGCCGTCGTAAAATCCACGATATACCACTCCTATGACCGCCTTACAACTACTGAACTGTGTATTACTACGCCACGGCACGGAAAAAGCCCATGTGTTGTTAATGGAATGATATTTGACTCTCATGCTGTTCGTATGGACCACCGAGTATGTTGATGAAGTAAGAACCCATTTTTGTTTTAACTGAGGGGCTGGTGACTTATGTTCTTAACTAAGAAGAAGGCTGGCCAGCTAGCTAACAGGCTAAAAGATAGCCAACAGCCTAAACAACTCCATCATTAATATTACAGACTTGAATTAAAGTAGCTACTTAGCTACGGTATGATTAACTGTAAAACGGCGGTGTAAAAGTCTAGAAAATGTCACTGAAATCAATTACATGCTTCAAATGTTCGTGTTTCAGTCAGAAGTAGCGTCAAACCCAGGCTGAATCCCAAACGGCTCTGTGCTCCCTAAATAGCGTGTTAAATATGAAAGTCTAGCCTCTGCAGCCTAGTAGTGCACCATTTATCGAATATGGATGTGGCCCAAATGAGTATTCCTTGGCTTTTGCGCTGTTGGGGTGCTGGATTTGGTATTTAAATTCCTAAACAGTGCACTTAGTAGGGAGCAGGGAGCCATTTCAGACACAGCCCCAGCACAAGAAGAGGGGCGCCGCTGGATTGGTGCTAAATGAGACTCGCGGTGATTATTTGGTGACCAAAAAATACTTACAAAGCAAATGTTTTTGCATTAAACAGTGGTTTATTGTCATATGTTCATTCCTATACGACAAAATCTTAAAAATTCATGAAATGTCCGCAATATACAGCGAGGTGCGACCGTACGTTCTCCTCATTCAGCTGTCCGTGGTTGCTTGGCAACGACACCATGCTCTTAAGGAACTACATTTCTTGGCGGAATATTTGCTTATGTCGATTATTATTAAAAATAAATTATTTTCTGAAAGTCCGGTTTTTTATCGTATTATATGTTGGCCGCCATTTTATAAAAGCAATAAGCCATTTGAGGCGATGGGTTACTGCGATTTTATCACGGGGAGTTTTAGGCTAAGAACACCCTTCCCGTGATAAATTTGCACTAACCCACGGCCTCCCGTGGCTATTGCTTCAGCAATAAATGTTTACATGCCCATTTATCACCTTTCTTTATCCCTTAGAATTAAGCAGGCTGTTTTTGTCGTAATGCCTTTAAGACTGGTAAGCTGTACTGTGCCTCATGTTCAAAAAGCAGTTCAGGCTGGAACACTTCTCATAACTTCATTGCAAATGGGCGGGGCTAAACGTGTATGAGCTGAATAGGCAGATATAAGTAAATGTGTTGCCCGTTTTCAAGTCATAAAACCAGTAACTCCTGCATCTGCATCTGTTTGCATTTTATATGCTTTCAGCCAAAAAACATGCTGCAGACTTTCGCAGATGTAGGCTACTTTTTTCAGTTCCTGTATACTTTGTATTTCACCTAAGTCTGTACTTAACTAGAAATATATATCTATTTGGCCATTCTGATCTGGATTTGTTAAAAATATTGCATGTAGCCTGTACTGCTATACACTTTAGCAGTCTGGCGGTTTCTGAAGCAGCTAGGATAAGAAACGAAGTCGGACTTTATTCAGAGTATTCTGCTTATCAAAACAAATGGCGCCAAGAAAAGGTCTGAAAAGAAAGTCCCTTTACGGTTACAGTCTGGGCAAGTGGGTGGTGAGAAGTCTTAAACAAGTAAAAAGCTTACGTTCATGCACTGGCCAATAGCATAATGCGTGCTCAGAGCATGAACATCTTGAACAGAACATGTGCTTTTTAAAGGTTATGAGTAGATCTTTGACAAAAATCAGAGATTCTTTCTAGCAAACAGCATATGTAAACTTCCCATGAACCCTTCTCTCGTCGTTGTGCTCTTTTGCAAGACGTTTTTATATAAACATATATACATATGTATGCATGTGTGTGTGTGTAGCTGCTACAATTCTGCTCAATGACCCACCTTCTTGTGGGGTTTTCTCAGTATAAAGTGTTGCGTTTATATATTAGTTGTTTATCTCTGCACACACCGTTAAAGTGGCACGTCCTTTGATTACCATCTGATTTCTTAAGGCTGTTTTCAGTCTGCATCAGTACCGCAGGATCTGATAATTCAATATCAGGAGTTGGAGTGGGCTTCTCCTATGTTACAGCCGTTTTTCTCTGAAAAGCACCTGCCGTCCAGTTCCAGCACGCTGTTTACTACACTGAGCCCTCCGCTGTGCACGCCTTCCCGAGCAGCGAGTCCGGTCCGCTATTGGTGGACCGCTCTCTTACGCCGGTCTTTGATTGGTCAGGGCCATATCAACATTCGCAGCCCATGTGGGCTGCATGTGAACAGCGACAGACTTCTGTATTTTGAGCACTCTTTCGCTGCTGAGGTTTCGTGTTTTTTTTTAAAGGTGGGCTCCTCTCCCCAACGATATACGGTAGTTTTGAAACCCGTCCATTCCTCTGGACGTGGTAAATAAACGGTTTTCCAATTTGGGGGGTATTTCACAAAACAGATTTTCTCAGTGGTCAGAATAATTTAAGCAATGAGGACTGAACAAAAGGAAGGTCCTTTGTCTCCTTTCCTGCTGGACAGGCTTGGCATTTGGCTTAAATTATTATGCCTTGTTTTAAAATGTCTAGTCTTTTTCTGTCAATAGAATGTGTGTGTGTGTGTGTGTGTGTGAGAAATATAGAAACGTATGAGGAATGTCTATGCTGCACTATTTTGCAGTTTAACAAAAAATAATATGCCCTACTTGCAATAATGCGAGTATATATTCAATAATTTGAATTATTTAAACAATTCATATTGAATGTTAAGCCTGTCCGATAACAGAAGAGGTACGGGGTTTCAGACAGTCATCTCTATTGTTTTATGTTTACCAGGTTAACTGAGAAAGTGCTTTGTGGAATACTTTAATCGCATTTATTGTTAAACAGCTTTTCCAGTGGATGAAAGACTGTATCTTTGTGTTTTAAATCCGAGGATTTCGAAAGAAGAGTGCCATTAACGTCGTTGTATTGTTTTTCATTTGCTTTGTGGGGTCGTAGTGTGTTTTCTTTGTGCGCATCCTTTCTCGGTATTACGGTAAAGGGGGTCCTCGACGCTCCTCAGCCGATATGACATAAGTTGCGCTGCAACCAGCCGCCGCTACAGTCTCGTGCCTTCACGATCTCGCAGGCGACTAAAAGGCTCTGCAGGAACGGGATGTTAACGCCACCGGGATGAATGCTACCGAAGACATAACGATTGCAATCATGCCCCGGGAGCTCACACAAAACCCGCTGCGGAAGATATGGATGCCGTGCAAGAACGGGCTACCGGAAAAACACATTTCCCAGAGGAGAGGTGGGTCCTGCTGCTGCTGCTTCAGCGTAGCGCGAGATACCGAAAGTGTTCGCTAAACGCACGAGCATTCGGTAGAATCCCGGTACATAAAGCCACGTCTGTTAGCGCTTTAGGCCCGTGGAGCTTTAGTGCTCACAACGGAATAGGTTTTAAAGTCTCATGTTCCCGCGCACAGAAGGCCTAACAAGTGATGCAATCGAGTAAGAAGCTTTGCTCGCTTTACGGGGCTCGTATGTTCGCTGACGTTGCTGTAAGCTAAAGGGATCATTGGGTTCAACGGGCTTTACAGTGATTTATGTCCGCACATATCATACCGGGCAGAGACGAGATGCCATAGTGGCTAGTACAGGTCCAGCGCGTAGACCTTTTAGAATGAACAGAAACAGTAAATACAGTGAGCAGTCATAGCAGGAGATGCTACAGTGGCTGGTAACGTTAATTAGTTAAAGCAGGAAACCAACTAACAAGGCATTAAGTGTGATGTACATTTTGTAGTGAATTGTACTACAGCTGAAGGAACTATGTTTACAATGTAAGGATGCTAAACCTGTTTGTGTTCATGCGTGTGTAAAGCCTGGCAGTGCTGAGAAAAGGCTGGCAGTGGTAAATACTGTGTGCCTGTATTGTTGTAGTAAATAATAAACCGAGCCAAAATGCTGTATGACCCTGTCAGCCCCCTCATAGCTCCCTCCCACCTCCCTCTGCCCCCCTTGTGCACCTCTCTTAGTTTGAGGCCTGTCATGTTAGATAAAACCCTCTTCCTTCTTTGCTGAGCTCTGAAGCGTAGAGCAGGGGTGGGGAACTCTCGCTTCTGGGGGCTAGATTCCTGCACACTTTGGTTAAACATTTACTAAACCTGGTAAATAACCACTGGGTTGAATTTGATGTATTTGAAGAAATTGCTAAACCAAATACTCCCAGGACTAGAGTTTCCCCATCCCTGGAGTAAAGAGATTCAAATCTGGACCTGGATCTAAATCATAGCAGGGAATACTGGTACTTAACTGAATGCCTAGATCCAGTTTCCCAGACCAAGACTAAGAAAATTTTAATGGTGACACACAGCTCAAGCTCATATAAACAAACATTAATAAACCACTGCCCCCTAGATGTGTTATAGCAGTCAGTTCTTTTGTTTCATGATGTGTCTCAATACATGTGTTGTCCACTTTCTTTATTTACATACAGTTGCTTCCTAACTGATGAAAAGGCACTCAATTCATGTTCTGTTTTTTGAGCTCAAACATGATTGTGGAAACTAACAACTGTGGAAAATGTTCAAGACGTATGGCACATTTATATCTTGTGTAGGGATGAGCGAGATGGCAAAAAATATAACAAGATATTTCAAGATGTTCTTATAATATACTATATGCATCCTGATGTTCAGATTTTCTGAAGTGTAGTCCCAGTAGTGCCACATTTTAACAAATGCAAAACTATGAATGCAATGATATTCAAGTTTCAGACACCACACTGCATTAAATGAATGACAATAAATTAATAAACTGCGCATAAACACAGTTAATGTTCTTTAAGAAAGCATATTGTGATATAACAATTAATCATGAAAACGGTGCTACATTGCCCAAACCTGAACTTGTGTTGCTTTGATGAAGCGACTGATCTTAGTGCCGCCTCATTATTACAGTTTTGAGTTCAGCCTCTGTGTTTACTTGTGATTTTGAATGATTTGTCACTGTTAGTCATCATGATGCACTTTCTATCACAGTCAGGCAGTTTTTATAAGGATTGTTGAGTAGCATTATACGTTGACATACAAGAATCGAATGCAAAGAACTTCCTTTCCCGGGTGTGTTTGCCTGTGTATGTATGTTGTGAGGGAGGAGGAAGTGTAGACAGTGAAGTTGTGTGAGAGGTGAGGATGATGACAGTGCAGTCTTGGTCGAAGCTTTGTTGCTGCGTTTCTTGAGAGGTGAAGCTCCTGCTCTGCTGAGTCAGCCTGCATGTATGACCTGTATGATTTGTTGTTCTTCTGTATTTAATTGCTGTTATCATCATATATTTATCTAAAATAGGAACAGTGTGAATAATATCTATCAGTAATGTATTATGGATTAAAAGTTTAACATTGAACTAAGGTTGTTTCTCAAATATATATATATTTTTGAGTTGAAAGCATTTGCTGCTAGAAGGGGTTAGAGTAACTGAAGGGGTGTTGAGCTTTGGCTAGTTTGTAATGAAGATTACCCCGATAATTGCTGCATTTGTATTCTTGAGTTGAGTGGTCAGGAGGGGGCAATACCATGATTGGTAATTTCTGCTTAATCCTGTAAGACATCATGGCTGCACTCCTGCAGGAACTGAGCATTGTTGGCCAATTAAATAGATTCCTTTCTATTGCCGCAGTCTGTTCATGGCTGGTTTTACTTCAGGACTTTAGCTTCACGTTGCGTTGGGTTTCTTTGAGTTGCATTGAGTTGAACTTAATTTAACTAACCATGCATCGGCTCTAATCCCTGTCAGCGTGAACCTCAGGTTTTCCCACACTGTCTTTCTTTAGAAACCAGTGTCATTACTTTCTGTAATATAGTTAATACCTATGCAGTAAAGGACAGGAGCAGTTGGTCGTTTTGAATGGTCAGACCTTGAAATTTTAGAAAATCATCTGTTGGTCAAAGTTTCTTTTTGATATAAAGGTATTAGAGGACTTTGTGTAAAATCCCCGTGTATGTGGTGCTCCACTGTAGCCTCTCTGCATGGTTAGTACTTTGAAAAGAGATTCACTCCGAGATGAACAAAGAGGGTATTCATTTTCCTGTATTCATGTTTCAGTTTGCCTTTCATTTTGGTTCTTTTCACATGTCTGTGTGGAGAGCAGAATCGCCAATCTATTTGCATTTTTTACATTATAGTGTCTCCTTTCTCTCTGTCTTTTTCATTTTTTCTTTCTTTCTATCTTTCTTTCAGTATGTATGACCAACTGTCCCACCCTCATTGTGACCGTGGGGTTGCCAGCTAGAGGGAAAACCTACATTTCTAAGAAACTAACTCGCTACCTCAACTGGATTGGTGTACCAACTAAAGGTATGTTGAACTGACGCACATGTGCTGGGCAGTTTATATATTTATATAATAAATTTCAACATCACTGTATTTTTTTTAGCTTTCTCATGGTATGCCATGCTACCTGAGTGCTACTTTTCTGTGAGAAAGGAATGCGTTATAAAGCTCTGATAGATTCTGTTGATTGGACTGTGTTTTGTTTTTTCTTCTAATAAAAATACACCAGAGGGAACCGTAAACAGTATTGTTAGGGTATAGGGTATAGTAGAGTTAGAGTATTGTAACCAGACAGAAATAATAAAATTTACTCTTTTATTCAGTTAAACTACTTTTAAAAAATCCTTTCAAAACAATCTGAAGCACAGAGCAAATGATTTTTACATTACTGTTAACTATGGATACACTGATATTGGAATTGTGGGCAGATATCTAATATTTTCCATGTAGAGATCTGCTAATGATAAATAAACATTTATGAAATTTAGAAAATGTAACTGCGTCTACTTGGATTAGCATTGTGGAGAAATTTATTTACAAGAAATAAACACACTATTTAAATACAATGTTAAATAAATACATTTTAAAAATAGTTTTATAATGTTACATTAAAAGTAAACAGAGTGAAATGCACACATTTTAGCAGATTACTCCAGCATCGCCTAAACATTCTGCTCTTCCAGGGAACAGTAAATTCATCATCAAATGTTGGTTTGAAATATCGGTCAAATCTAAACATGTCCTTTATTTATTTAAGCAAAAATTTGCAGTTACCAATATCATTTTGATATCATTGAGCGTCCCTACAGTTAACAATGTTCTCTATAAAATATATTGCTTGTATTCTTTCTCTCACACACACACACACACACACACATTATGTATGTATATAAACACACACACACACAAAAGATATCATTACATTTGATTTTTATGTGTTTAGAGTTCAATGTTGGTCAGTATCGGAGGGAGTGCATGAAGATCTACAAGAACTTTGAGTTCTTCCGCCCTGACAATGAGGAGGGACTAAAGATCAGGAAGTAAGACTGTGTGTTCTTCCCACTGTGTGTGCTGATGTGTGTTTCTGGTTTTGGTTGTTTTGTAACTGGTTTGCTGGTTGTGTGTGTGTGTGTGTGTGTGTGTGTGTGTGTGTGTGTGTGTGTGTGTGTGTTTTTCAGGCAGTGTGCTCTGACAGCGCTGAATGATGTCAGACAGTATCTCAGTGTGGAAGGAGGCCAGGTGGCTGTAAGTGAAATCAACACATAGATGTTAATTGGAATTTTCATTGTATAGTTTAAACTGTAGACTCAAAGACTGCTTCACTGTATAATTGTATACTGCAGTGACCAGGAGAAGTGCTGAGAGGTGCTGTGTTTAATAGTATGTATGTGTTAACTTACCAGGTGTTTGATGCCACTAACACTACAAGAGAGAGGAGGAGTATGATCATGAGATTTTCAGAGCAGAATGGCTACAAGGTACTAACAAGTTCTTCTGGTCTAGTTCACTTCACAGACTCACCCACACATTCTTCCACAGCAGCCGTGATTTAAGTGCTTGTTGAAGCCTTTGAGGTCCTAAACCTCAACATAAACCTCTGCATCAGTTTGCTCATGATTTGTTTCTTTTTGGCAGGTGTTCTTTGTTGAGTCTGTGTGTGAAGACCCTGAAGTTATTGCCCAGAACATTGTAGTAAGTCTGTAGTTTCTATGTTGACAAATATTGAGGCATGTGTAGATGTAACTGTAATTTAGTGTGAGTTCAGCAAATTCTCAAGGTATTACTGTGTGTCTAAGCAGCAGGTGAAGCTGGGCAGCCCGGACTACATTGATTGTAACACTGAGGAGGCCATTCAAGACTTTATGAAGAGAATCAAATGTTATGAAAACTCCTATCAGCCACTGGATGAGATCTTGGACAGGTGGGACTTCCACTGTTTTCAGATTTTGACGTGGTGCTTTGAAAGTCTTCTGGATGTTATGTGTAGACTAATCCTCATGAATTAAAACTATAATTAACTAAATGTTGCATCTTCCATGAAATGTCTGTTTATTCTAGTGTTTCCTGTGTTTGATAGGGAGCTGTCGTACATCAAGGTGATGGATGTAGGACGGCGGTATTTGGTGAATCGTGTGCTAGATCATATTCAGAGCCGGATTGTTTACTACCTGATGAATATCCACATCACTCCACGCTCCATCTACCTCTGCCGGCACGGAGAGAGTGAGTTAAACATCAGGGGACGCATTGGTGGGGACTCAGGCCTGTCACCCCGTGGTAAAGAGGTAGGTGTGTGTGTGTGTGTGCGCGCGCATGTGTGGAAATGGTGAAATGTACCTTGCTTAAGTGAGAGACAGAATTTGAATGAAACAGAATAGAAATCACTGTCCTCTTCATGCAGCCAAGGAGTTTTTCAGAACCATTCGTTTTCTTGAATGGCCAAGACGGTACTTTACGTAATCCCACAGAGCAGCAATTTCCATTTAGTAAGTCAAGACTTGTGGCACAAAATCCCTGAATAAAGTCCTTAAAGAAGCAGTGGCTGCATTAAAGCATCCTCACCCAGATACCTAGAATTGATTATTACTACGATTCACACACATCAGACAAATGGAGTACAAAAGATTTGCAACCAAGTAGTAAACATGACAGTTTTATTTAATTTGATGTAATTTGTTAAATTACTTATGGTAACTGGAGGAGGCATATATTAAAAGGAGAATGATTTCATATCTGGTTCACCTGAAATAGATATAAATACCCTCAAATTACAACTGATATTGTGCACTTTAACCTTTTTTACTTTTTAGTTTATCATTTGAATTCCTCACTCACACCTTTCTTCCCTTTTTCTCTGTCAGTTTGCACTTTGCCTGGGTAAATTCATTCAGGAGCAGAATATAAAGGATCTGAAGGTGTGGACGAGTCAGATGAAGAGAACCATTCAGACAGCTGAGGCTCTGGGGGTGCAGTATGAACAGTGGAAAGCTCTAAATGAAATTGATGCTGTAAGTGTGTGTTGGCCTGTGTTATGGTGACCTGTTAGATTGTGTTGTATGTGTGGTGTTTGTATGGGACTTATTAGCACAGAACATAATCTTTTCGCATATAATACGATAGAGTAATAGTACATCACTGCACACAAATAGAATGGCAAACTGACTTAATTATGACACTTTTGAAAAAAAATGCTTGCTTATTTCTATGCTTCTATACTCATTTCTATACTGCTACTGCCTGTAGGGAGTGTGTGAGGAGATGATGTATGAAGAGATTCAGGAGCATTATCCTCTAGAGTTTGCTCTGCGTGACCAGGATAAGTACCGCTACCGCTACCCTAAAGGAGAGGTAAATTTACCCACTTTTGTTGCTTAGAGAATAAAGAAGCTTTACTTGGCTGTGTCTGAGCACCAGTATACTCTGAAATATAATCTGTTAAACATACTAGGATATTTTATCCAATTCAGCTTTCCTTTCAGTAAGGAAGGTTTATTTTGTGAACATTTGTAACCTTACCCTAGGTTTGGCATTGGTGAGAAGCAAGTTTATTACTGAGATTTCCTTTCAAAACCTGACAGACTTTTTATCCTATTATTGAAGTAACTTAAGCCAAGATTTGGCACACAGTGAAGTGGCGCACTCCCCCCTTTAAGCTAAGCGTGGAGTTAGTTCATGGTGCCTGCATGATGGCTGAAAGTGTTTGCATTTAACCCTCTTCTCATTTGTAGTCTTATGAGGACCTGGTACAGCGACTGGAGCCAGTAATTATGGAGTTGGAGAGGCAGGAAAACGTTCTGGTCATCTGCCACCAGGCTGTCATGCGCTGTCTTCTTGCCTACTTTCTGGACAAAAGTGCAGGTATGATTTGTCACGCTCCTGTGACGTTTTACTTTTGTGTCCCTGCTGGTGTCTTTTGTAAGATATCTTTAGCGGGTTAGTGTAAATATTATATAGAGTATCAGGATTGGTTGATTATGAATGGAAATATAACATTCTACTATGACGTCTGTGTTGTATTTTAGATGAGTTGCCTTATCTGAAATGCCCCCTTCACACTGTGCTGAAACTCACCCCAGTGGCCTATGGTGAGACAACCTGCTGTGTTCCTCCTATATTCAACATGCATACAAATGCATACACATGAAATTTCACTGAGTAGGATGAATTCATATTTGTGGCTAAAGATAGCAAAGGGATTTTTTCTCTTGTGCTTAAAGTAATTAGCTGCTCAGTAATTATGAGAAACGTGGTGTGTTTAAATTACAGAGTAAACCAACTCTTGGTGCCTGTTGGCTGCCCTCAGGTATTTTGTGTTTTTATGTGAATATCTAATTAGTGCTCCCTGCCTTACTCTGTCTCCTCTGTTACGCAAGGGTGCAAAGTGGAGTCCATCTATCTCAATGTGGAGGCGGTGAACACCCACAGGGACAAACCTGAGGTATGGAACACAGAATCTTCTTGTTAAAATCAACAGGGTTCCAAAACAAACTTGCAAAACATGAGTTAACTGGAGTTGTTTTTATTTATTTATTTTTGTTGGAAACCAGTTGGCCACAAAGTGCTAGTCATAGTGGGGAGATGTCTGCTGTGAGGAACAAAGCAAATGGGTCCATCTGTGTGACCTACTTGCTGCATTCAGGAACCATTTATTTTGGATGTTAATTGAATCTGTGTTGAGAAACGTTATTACAAATACTACCCAAAGTCATAACTAGTTTGCTAGGCCTAATGTTGACATTCATTTTTATTTAATGTTGGAGAAAAAAACTAAACTTTTATGATAAACATATGGATATGAGTGATGAGTGTTGAACAAGAGGTTTGGGCTGAATTGAACAAGCAAATGGAAAAATTAAGTTTTCAGCCTTCTGTTAGTAAAGAGTGTAACTGGGGAAAGGTCATTCTCCTCCGTCAGTGTTTAAGACTGTTTAGGATTAATATGTAGGGATTCATTGATCATGAATATTCTTGGCCAATTCTGAATGCTGTAGAACCAAAATGGCCATTGGCAGATTTTTTTGGGCCCGTTTTATTAGCCTTTTTTTTCTCGCTTAAGCCCACACGGTGTGGGCTAAATAGACACATGGAAGACACTACCCCATTTCCAGTACATTGTATTAACCAAATGTGCCATTTGAAATGCATAATTTGCTCTTAAATGAGCCAAACTGACATTTAAATATGTAAATAATCAGTTGCCTGTTGAAATAACATGAATTAAATAAAGTGCCACCTTGAAAGAAGTGACTAGCACCAGTCATGTATGATTATGCTCGGACACTTTAATATTCATTCAAATCATTCAAAAAGGGAAATCATCAAAAGCTTTTAAATACAGCGTTGTCCACGTACACAACTCATGTTACACTATATTGCCAAAAGTATTCACTCACCCATCCAAATCATTGAATTCAGGTGTTCCAATCACTTACATGGCCACAGATGTATAAAACCAAGCACCTAGGCATGCAGACTGCTTCTACAAACATTTGTGAAAGAATGGGTCTCTCTCAGGAGCTCAGTGAATTTCAGCGTGGTACCGTGATAGGATGCCACCTGTGCAACAAGTCCAGTCGTGAAATTTCCTCACTACTAAATATTCCACAGTCAACTGTCAGTGGTATTATAACAAAGTGGAAGTGATTGGGAACGACAGCAACTCAGCCACGAAGTGGTAGGCCACGTAAAAAGTGAGGTCAGTGGATGCTGAGGCGCATAGTGCGCAGAGGTCGCCAACTTTCTGCAGAGTCAGTCGCTACAGACCTCCAAACTTAATCTGGCCTTCAGATTAGCTCAAGAACAGCGTAGAGAGCTTCATGGAATGGGTTTCCATGGCCAAGCAGCTGTATCCAAGCCTTACATCACCAAGTGCAATACAAAGCGTCGAATGCAGTGGGGATAAAGCGCCACCACTGGACTCTAGAGCAGTGGAGACGTGTTCTCTGGAGTGAGTAATCACGCGTCTGGCAATCCGATGGACGAGTCTGGGTTTGGTGGTTGCCAGGAGAACGGTACTTGTCTGCATTGTGCCAACTGTAAAGTTTGGTGGAGGGGGATATGGTGTGGGTTTGTCTTTCAGGAGTTGGGCTCGGCCCCTTAGTTCCAGTGAAAGAAACTCTTAATGCTTCAGCAGACCAAGAGATTTTGAACAATTTCATGCTCACCACTTTGTGGGAACAGTTTGGGGATGGCCCCTTCCTGTTCCAACATGACTGCGCACCAGTGCACAAAGCAAGGTCCATAAAGACATGGATGAGTTTGGTGTGGAAGAACTTGACTGGTCTGCACAGTGTCCTGACCTCAACCCGACAGAACACGTTTGGGATGAATTAAGAGCAGAGACTGCGAGCCAGGAACTTCTCGTCCAAAATCAGTGTCTGACCTCACAAATGCGCTTCTGGAAGAATGGTCAAAAATTCCCATAAACACACTCCTAAACCTTGTGGAAAGCCTTCCCAGAAGAGTTGAAGCTGTTATAGCTGCAAAGGGTGGGCCGAAATCATATTAAACCCTATGGATTGAGAATGGGATGTCACTCAAGTTCATATGCGTGTGAAGGCAGACGAGCGAATACTTGCCAATATAGTGTATTTACTTCATAAAACGACAACATGGCTCAGCCAAAAAGACTAAAGACTAAATTTGCAGATTACGTGTTAAGAGCAAAAACCTGCCGATTCCGATCATGTGTGCTTAAGAATATGGAAATCCACAGAACTGAGATTATCAGTTATTCTTTGTGGGGAAGATCTATTGTGGTTAGATGTGCTGCAGGCCATATCCATGGGAAAATGACTGCAGGCCTGTGCTATAAAGCTTTAAAAGGTTCACTTCTCATCCTCTGAGTTGCTTTCTCTTACACCATTTCACTTTCTTTGAACAGAATGTTGACATTTCCCGTCTGGCTGAGGAGGCCCTTCTCACAGTTCCTGCCCACCAGTGACGCACACATCTCGGACATCTCGCACCACAGCTACACTCCATCAGGCTGCTTAACTGATTAGCCAGCATTTCTTCTTCATTATTTACTTTTTGTATTTTTGTGTGCTCAGGAACACAGAGCACAGTGTGAACCGAAGGATTTTTTACTTTCAGGTCTTTATCTTTTTTTCTCTATTCATGTACCAGATTGATAACTGGAATCCAGTTCTAAGATGATGAACCCTAGTGTTTTGGGGTGTGGGTGTGTGTGTGTGTGTGTGTGTGTGTGTGTGTGTGTGTGTGTGTGTGTTTACATATATGTTGCTACGTGTACATGATGCCAGCGTAGACTGGATACAAACATGATTGGTGTGGCAAAAAGATTTTTTGACATTTTTCTAAAGAAATTTTTTTGGGAAATTTTTTCAACATGGGTTTTTTTTTGGTTTGTTTTTTTGTTTTGTTTTTATTTTTTCATTGTGGTAAAACATTCCCTTAAGCAATACTGTAGATCTATTTGGGGAGACGTTTATACTTTCCCAAAAGGTTTTGGGTGGTGGTGAAAAATGTATTGAATAACACTGTGCCAAACAAATCAAACTTTATCTAAAGCCTCAGTAAGGATGTTTTCGTTGCTGTTCAATGGTAAATGAATCTACCTAATTCAATCAAAAAACTCTCTTAAACATCTGTTTATTAAAAACAATACCATGCAGAAGTTTTATAGAAGCAAATCAAAAAGTACTGCTGCTTCTGCTGTGAGAAACTTGTCACTTGTGCTAACAATGTCAGACCTCTCACCTCCCTCAAACATCTGTGTTTTCCTGATCAAGGCTTTAAATAACTGAAATTATTCGTTTTTAGCCTGTCAGTGCCCTAAAAAGATTAAGCACAGTGACAAAGCAGATTATGACCAGTTGATGGTATTCAAAGTAAATTTAATTCAAGACACTGCTGGTGTGCTGCCAGTAGAGGATGTTTCCTGGATAAACAAAGTGTAAAGTTTACATTTTCTTTGCAGGTTTTACTCAACTTTATTACTTTATCACTGAGCTGTGAACTGTGTAGACTTAAAAATCATCTCGTATTAAGTTTTCTAAAGGTTTTTTTTTTTCATTATTCCATGGCAATGTCAGAATGTGATGGGGAAAGTGAATGAAGCTCCTTTTCTACTCCAATAATGTCCTTATCATGTTTCAGATAATTATGGATGCAATATATTTATTTGATAAGCACTTTTTCATTATGAACGGCGAGTCTAGTGTTGTATTTGTGAATGTAAATACCTGTAAATCTGAACATTTACAAAACATTTTGCAGCCGATAACAGTAGCATGACCTAACTGTGTTAAAATTAATGCCTGGATACACTAAGCTGATACTGTCTGATTATTCAAAACAAACAACTTTGTGTGCTACACCTGGTCTGCAAAGGCATGCTGAACAAGTTAGACATCTGTTTTTCTGAATTTACTAAATGTTTCTGGTGTTTCCTCTACAAAAGTGCAAGCATCTCTACGGTGACAGTAAAGATATCCAGACTAAAATTTTGATCAGAATCACGCACATTACTGCTGTTTATCTTTGCTGTGTCACACTTGTTGCATTGAATCGGCTGCTGTCCTATCATTTTTGAAACCCAGGCCGAGATGCACAATTTTCTGATGCTGTTTTGTGGATACAGATTGTTTTTTCTACTTCAGTAGAACATAACTAATCTGTGTCAGGAGAACCAGTTTTCAGAATAGCTGTCATTTAACCAGTCCATGTGTAACAACCACTCTTTCTCTCTTTCGTTCTTTTATTTGTATTTTTGAATTATTTTGTGCAGGATTTCTTTGTATGTTATTGTTTTGTGCAAATATACCATCTCTGATTAAAAAATATATCCACACAGTAAATAGTGTGCAAGAGCTTTTTAAATTCACGGAATGACTATAAGGCCATTAATGACCTTTAATAACAAATCTTCATTTGACAGAATAATTCTTATATTAAGGCAAACAATAAGGTAAATATAAAATCTGGCAGAGTGAAGAATATCTTTGGTTTCCTTACAATGTTGCATGGATGTGTACAGGCAGCAAAAATACAATCTTGACAGATTTTTATGTGCATACATATATAAACCTAGAAAAATCTCAAAGCAAATCCTAACAGACTGGGTCAAAGAAAAACAGAGATGTAGTTTTCTGAAAAAAAAAAAACACCTTCACACAATGGTTGACAACAATTTAGCAATCGTGAAAGTATCTCATAATACTACAGTCAAAAACAGTGCAAAAGCTGTTAGTGATGGCTAATGTCAGCACTATCTGGGGACTTTGTGTAACACACAATACATAGGGAGGAAGATCTGTAGGCATTTGTTCCAATTCTGCATTATATTGTCTGCTTTCATTAAACACACATTTCTTGAATATTTTAAACTGGGTGTCGTGGAGCATTCTTGGGATAGTGCGTAGTCAGTGCTGCCCTGAATGTACCAAGTACCACTGTGAGTAATAGGTAAAAGTACCAATGCTAATAAAAGATATTAAATTTAAAAAGGTATTTTAAGACAGGTTCCACTGGTGAATGTGTCAAGCCTCAGGCTAGTAGAGATTCCTTCATTTAGAGGCTTAGGGCACTTGGGTGACTGTGTGCTTAGCTGAATAGGCATTAGTGTGGAAGACGGAGTATGCTGATGTGTTACCTAAAACCGCACACTCCATCCTTTAAGGCTACATCTGGATTCATGAAGTACAGTAGGTATCTCTCGCTCGCTCTCTTTCACATACACACACACACATTCACTACATACAATTCCTTCCTGTTTGACTGAGTCTCTGCTCAGGCAGGCTGCTGTGGGTTAATATTGAGGTGGGCAGGGTTCCCCAACAGTCCAATCCGCTGCTTATGCTTCCTCTGTTCAGTCATCTATGCAACAGAAATGGAATTAGTGTCTAAACATACTTTGATACATACACGTTCACATTCACACATACACAACACACACCTGCTCTTTGAGCTCAGTGAGCTGATTGGTCAGGTTAGAGACGAGTCTCATGGTGGACTCGAGTTTCTCCTGCAGACAACGCAGCTCATTCTGTTCTCCCTCTCCATCACTGCTCACAAGAGACATAGCTCTCATACGAGGGAACCAGTCCAGATTGTGTTCCTGTGAAGAGAGTGAGGAAATGACCCTATAATGTCCAGTTATGCTAGAGTAGGCATAAGTTATAAGTTAAGTTATAAGGAAGTTGTGTGTATAATGACCTACTTCAGCAGCAGTGTGTAATATGGTATAGTGTAGTATGTAATTTCGCTGCTGGTTGCCTGGGCAAGCGCACCACGCTCTACCAAAAAGAGTCCTTGGGCAAGATTCCTAACGCTACAGTCACCTACCTCTGTAACATGAAATAATTGAAAGTTGCTCTGGATAAGAGCATTTGCCAAATGCATAATAGGGACATAGGAGAACTGCAGCAGCAGGTCAACAGCACTAGCTGTCAGAGTACACGTATGAGGCAGTCCACCATATGTTTATTTTTGTTTGTTGCCAGTTTATCTCCCACCTTGTACCTACATTCACTGGTCATTTTATCAGGTATTTTAGGTGCATTTACAACAGGTATATATGATGCATATATACTGTATACGCATGGTGTGATAGAATAGGTGCACTTTTTGGCAGCTGCACAACCATGCTGTTGTGCAAAGAATGCTCCACCACTCAAGTAATAACTGGCAGTGGATCACCATAAACCAGATATTACTGATGAACGGGGTAAAGGGTGGGCTAAAGAAGAGTCCAGCAAATGATGGGCTAGAGTCAGTAACAGGCGTACCTCCTATAAAGGCCAATGATGTCAGAGAAATAAAACATTGGTTGTGGTGTGCACATAAAATTCTAAGACTGAAACATTCTAAGTTTGAAAAGCCCTGTTAGAAATGGTGCAGATCAAAACCTTCTACTGATAAAATATGTAATTCACCTTGATCATCTGAGCTACATAGCTCTCTGGGCCAGTGTACTCAGTGGAGTCTTTCACTCTGACCAGCACGATGAAGTACAGGTAATGCCACAGGTTGTGCTCCTCTTTGATATGCTCTTCAAATGTCACCGTCTTATTATCAAACTTATCTCTCTCCAAACCTGCATAAACATTCCACAAGTAAAATATTCATGCATTATGTCTTCAACTATAATATGCATGTGTTAATTTTTATGTAAACATTTTGAATATGTAACCTAACCCCTTAAATTCTAAGGAACTATAGGTTCACACCTCCCTTTCATAGCAATATACCTTACGTAGCAGTTTCACAGCAGATACTGAGTAACTCATAGCTACTGCAAAGTAAGTCTTATGATTAATAACTGAATAATAAGCCTAGAGTTTGAGCTCTACATGTGCATGCGTATGTTTATATGTATACATTCTCACCACATATAAAGCAGGTGGTTTTCAGCACCTCCTCTTTTCTTTGTTTCTCACTCCTCAAGTCAGCGAATGTGTCAATGATGACACCAAAGATCAGATTTAGCACAATGATGATGACCAGGAAAAAGAACAGCAGGTCATAGATAACCCTCGCAGCAAACAGAGGCTCCTGCACACAGACAAACCCACCCAAATACAAACGTAATCTTGATGTATTGCTCATAACTTACTGACCTCCTCTACTATGTGTTTGCAGAGGTGAGAAACATGGCAAAAATATAATAGCATCATTCCTAAAGACTGCATGTTTCATCTTTTTATACATCCTTTAAATACTGAAAATATACAGAATACGCTCAGAAAAGTTTTTTTCATGAAATATATAGTGATAGTATCATATTGTCGTATTGCCCACTCCTGTGAAATTGTGTGTGGTGTGAATAAGAATACCTCTTTAGAGGGTTTACGCAGCACATCACCAACTCCGCCCCCGCTCCTCAGACCATGACTCAGTACAGTGATCATACACATCCACAGAGAATCACACGCTCTCTCAACATCATCTGCACACACAAAAGCACATAACATAAACACAGATTAAAATCTATTTATGTTAACTGTTATCTGTGACTCAAAATGGAATATAAGGTGTACTTTAATAAAAATATAATTTTCACTGCCGACCTTCTGCTGCATCAACCGTCAGGCAAGTCCCATTCTCTACATTGCACGTACCCTCAGACAGGAAGCCACTGGCCATACTTGCCCCCTCCTCTGCAAAACCCACAAACAGGGTATTACCAAAGACATGCATTCAGGAACTAAGTACATAACAAAAACTGCTGAGCCCTTAAAGGGACCTCTTCCAAAAACGTAAATACTATAGCTTTTAATGTAGCAGCACTTTGCGTGAGAATTGTTTCTGGGCATGTGCAAATCTTTCTGGAGTGGACATGAACATTTTTTCATGTTGACGCCAAAGTTTCTGGTGCTCACCTGAAAGCTTCAGGATTTCATTTTTTTTGCAATCGACCCTTCAGGCGCTCAGCAGTTTCATAAAATCTACTACAATTTACTTTTGTGTTCTATTTACATTTCAAACTATTTTAGTTTGACCTTATATTGTGTGCGTCAGTTCCATACCCAGAGTGCTATTGGGGATGCGATCCACCTCCAGGATAAAATCATCTTTAAAAAAGATGTAACCCACGATGGAGAAAAGATAGACCAGGATGAGCCCCAGTACAGCCGTCAGCACAATGGAGCGGCCATTACGCGTCACACTCTTAATCACATTCAGCAGAGTTTCCTCTCTGTTCACCAGGTCAAATAACTATTCATTGAAACACGGAAACACATACAAAAACAACAAAAAGGTCACTTACTTACGCAACTTTACATGGGCTACAGTATGCAACATAATTGGAATCCCTGTTTTAATTAGACCTACATATTCCTGGTAAATAATAGCATAATTGTGTAATGCTGTTGTGACAGTTTTTTTATTTTTTATGAGAAAGCAGAAAAAAATATAGTACTACTATAATAAGCACAGTTGGTCCACAAGTCTAAGACCACTGGTGAAAATGTTTCTATTTTGTATTCTTTTCTAATTTTGTTATTGACATTACAATTTGTATAAAAAGTAGAATATCTGAAAATATTTACAACATTTACAAAATACTCTGATGAGTATATTAAATCCACCTGAAAGTTGTTTGTACACGAGCTTCAGTGCAAGGAGTAAAAAATCTGAACTTTTTGTACAAAGGCCTTAACATGGTTAATGACACAAATTTGCTTAAATGTAAACAATGACCTAGAAGTAGTCTTGAATACTTCTTACAATTTTATTTGTCTTTTTAATTTGTCTTTTCTGTTTTAAATTTTTTTAAATTCTAAAACTTTTGGTTGTTTATTTCCAGGTTTAAATGAAACACCCCAGATTTTCAAAGGGATCTCAGACTTCTGGACCCCAAATCATATTTATACACGACTACACATAGGCCTTGATTAGAACAGGAATGTTGAAGGTATATTGAAATGTCACCAGTAAGCTGTAGAAGAAGACGTGTCCACAGAGGCCGAGTGTACAGATGAGGAGATAGAGCAAGTGGAACAGGAACTCTCTGTCCATCACCATCGCTCTGTAACCGCGTGTAAACGTCCCCCGGTTACCCACAAAACTCAGCAGGAACACAATCTTATTACACACCTTAACACAGACAGACAGAGAGAAAGTTAGGTGTTATAATGCTAACAGCTCTCAGAGCATCATCAGTAGTGTTAGAAGTTATTAGTTTTATTAGTGATACAAGTAGGGTCATTGCAACTAACAAAATATGTAGTATGTAATGACTATTTAAGTACTTTTAAATTTAAATTTGCGTATTCTAAAACAACAGCACCACGACTATAATAACTGTAGATTTCTAAGGTGTAAATGTTCAAAAAACATCATTATAGTCTGTAAAAGTGTATTATAGTATACCTTTCAGTGGTTTACAGGTAATAGATGTAGAGTGTTTTGTGAGAGCGAATGCACATACGTTAAAAGCTCCCAGCAGAGACAGCATATGTTGAAGGCCTAATGAGAAGCCCAGTCGTAGAACAGAGGAAATGACCAGAACCCGCACTGCATTTGGACTGGGCAACAGCAACACAAAACCCAGTGAACCCAACACACACACCCACAGCAGCGCAGAAAGAGACGGGTCCAGCTGACCTGGTGAAAAGGCACACAATAAAAAACACACAGACTAGTGTGACTATGTGTTTGTGTACACAGCGGAGTATTAAAAAGAGACAATGTAGCACTGTAATTCTTCTGACTTAATGTTTATACATGGTGAGGGTTTATAGGAGACTACCCTGAGGAGTAAGATGTAAGGCTGCTGAGTGTGAGGGGCTGCTGTAGTACTCACTGTCACTCATGCCGTCAAGCGGATAGAAGAAGGCCACCAACACATTTATGAGCACAGCCAGGTTGAAGGAGACATTACTCCAGAATGACATGTTCCTGCTGCACCAATACAACACTGGCTGAGCTGAAACACACACACGCAAACTGTGTTCAAATAGTGCTGTTTTCTTTTAACTTCAAGTTTCATACACATCCACATACATGCAACCAGGCAAGATCACACCACCTTAAAGCCAAGAAGAAGATACCTTTCTAGATATCTTGGCAGAAGCATGATTTATTGCTAATAAAATAATAAAGCAATCGTCCTGTCTGAGTCCAAAGGATGCTTATGCTAACAGCACGATTCAGATTAATGGAGGGGGATTACACTTCATTTTTTTGGGATGTTGCTTCGGGCTATGTGTCTCTCTGTTGCTAACCAACAATAGCTGTTAATCAGTTGTGCTAACAGGCTGGTGTTTCAATATGTATAGGCAAAGAGCTCTGGCCCTTTTAGACGGTGATCTACCATTAATTACCAAGTGTGTTGCTGCTAATAAAAACAAGCTAAACTTAAAAAATGGCTTCTGGATAATGTTATATACTTTTGGTCAGCACAGAAAAAAACTCATGACATTTTGTTTATGTATGTGATACAATCAAAGTGCAGCTTAACTTTTTTTTTATCTCAGGGCAAAAACAATAGAGAAAAGTCACCTTGGACTTAAAAAATATGTGCAATGTCAACCCCTTCCTTAGGCCTGCCTCCACAAAATCAAGCCACTACCTCAAACAGTAATAGTATACCTCGCAATTTTTTCTGCCACCTCATCTCATTGTAGAGGTCATCTGCTCTCAGGAAGAAGTCATTGATCTTGCTGCCCTGCTCGTCTCTCTCTGTGCTGTAGTACACTCGCAGCTTTGACTCATTTGTCAGGAAGGAGCAGATATGAGGCACAGGAAACACTATCTGCTCCATAGTGCGATCCTGACGGACTATCTGCACACACACAAACACAAAAACAGAATTACACAACATGGTCAAGCATAACATTAGTGTGTTTTTGTCTGTGTGTGAATGCATAACTGGGAAATGTGAGTGTATACATGTATATGTACACTCATCAGAGTGTCACCTCTATCTGGGCAGTGTGCTTAGTGTAGCACTCCAGAGCCTGGTCTTCTCCACTTGGTTTCAGCAGCAGCTGCAGTTCCTTGTTGTGACGAGACAGCTGAAGGATCAAAGAACAACGTATTACACATTTAGTGTGAAATTTTATGAAGCCTCTTTATCTTTTGAATGATTGTGTTTGAACTGTAAACAGACACTTAGCTCTGCAGATAACTTTCCGCTGGCTATTTAAGTAAGTTCTAGGTTCATGTATTGCTGCACCTGATGCATTGTGTCAGACCTGGGCAATGTGCTCCTGACTATGTATTTGTCAGAAAAGTACAGAAGACATACAGTGTAATTCATGTGTGTGTGTGTGTGTGTGTTTGTGTGTGTGTGTTTAATAGCAAAAAGACAATACCACAATAAAATGTAGAGTTAGAGTTAGGCTTAGAAAATTATTTATATTCATAAATATATAATAAAATTTATCATACTGTGCAGTCAGGGATTTCATTTCCAGTCAGAACAGCTTTTAAATAACTAATAAGCTAATCATTTTTCAGCATAGGGAAAAAGCAGAAAATGCATATTCAACATAAAATTACACAGAAGCCACAACAACTAAATGTAATTTGAAAATGTTCAGTATTTACAGTGTCCACCCTTTACCTTTATTATAGCTTCTATTCTTTTTTGGGTAGTCTTGCTCTAAAGTTCAGTCTTAGAAGCTGGTTGCATTTTCTGCTGTTCTCTTATATCTCACTATATCCAAGTAATCCCAAACATACTCAATGTTGTTAAGGTCTGGTCTCTGCTGTATCCAGTCCACTATTTTGAGAACATTCTTCTCAGTAATGGCTTCCTTGAAGCAACACATCATTTCAGATCTATAGCATTGAGTTGTATTCTCACAGTGGAAGCATGACAGAACCATATTTTTACAGATCTGAAGCAAAAGTGGAGGTGGATTTTCTCCTATCTTAGATAAAAGCTTTAAGTATTGTTTATCTGGTGACAGTTTTGGTGGTTGATCAGGACTTGCATGGTTGTTGTCTTTTTGTAAACAGTTTTTTGACTTTCCTTCCCTCTTGTGCAAGTGGATTTTCTTATACCTAAATTCATCAGAAATATCTCCTGAAAAATGAATGTAATTAATGGCCATTTTGGAAATTTTAAGAAATTTGAATTATAAATTAAGGGTGGTCTCTGACTTTTGCACAGTACTGTAGGTAGTTATATCTAATACATATGGGACATATGTATGAATCCATGTATGTACCTGATGTGCCAGAATGTAGATATTATGCCCAACGTTGCGTGGTGAGGCAGCATGATCCTCTCCATTCTCCTCTTCATCATCAAAGTCAGCCTCTCCCTGCTGGTAGGCCTTCTTTATCACCTCCACCTAGCACACAAAAACACATCAAACACAGACACACAAACACACACACACACACACACACACACACATACACACCACAAATATGCTTTCAAACAAGCTTAAAATGTATTTGTTGACACCGATTATCTTAAACTTGAAGATGTAACCACACCACAGTGCTAAATAAATGAAAAAATGGTGCATTCCTCACCAGCTCCTTGGGCCTCATGTTGTACAGAATCCTCTCTGCATTCTCACTGTCATGGCGACTCTCCATTATGGCCAACAGCAGCTTGGAGGCATTATTCTGAAAAACATGCAGGTGAAGTGTCACAGGAAAATTTGTACTGTGAACAGACAAAAAACTACACAACCACCAGTTAACACACAATACTAGATTGTTTGTAAATCTCAAGTTTTATGTAGTGGCATACTTAAGCCTTAAGCCCTCACAAATATCACATAATATTATCCAAATATTAACAGCCAATGCATAAAAAAATGAAGTTCCCAGTGATTTCAGACTAATGCAGGATACCTTTAGCTCCAGCACCAAGTCCATCCTCTTTCTGCCAAGTGGATTGATGTCATTCAGAATTAAAGCGATGATGATGTCTATGCCGTTAGACTCATGAGTGGCAATGCAGTTCTACAGAAAGACACATATGCATAAATGAAATAAAGCATCAGATGCTTTTCTTTGCCATGTCTGTGAGGATTCACAAAAAGAGAGAGACAAAGAGAGAGACTGTGTGTTTGAGACTGTGCGTGTGTACCTGGTTATCATGGCAGGGTCCTTGGCAGTACTCAGTAAGGCTCTCTATAGTCTGGTTAATGAGAGCCACATTGTGCTGGTTAATGTAAAGGCCCAGCAGGCCCAAGCCTCCTGTAGTGCTGCCACAGATACAGTCCAGAAACTGCAGCGTCTCACACACCAGGTTATAGTTGTTCTTATTGTTCTGGCAGCGCAAAAAATTCTGTGTGGAGGGAAAGAAAAATGAATGTGGTACACAAAATAAGGAACATTACTCTCAGAAATGTTGTGTTAATTGACAACACACATGTAAGACATGAGCTGTATAAAATACTTTATAGTCAAGTTTACATGCATGCCGGGATAGCCTTCTTTAAAATGCCCCCTTTATGACACACCTAAATTTACAGATGAGTTTCTCATCACAAGAAAATATCAGTGTGCCCTCTTTCCTTTATACTTTTTCGCACTTAGTTTGACTAATACTGAACCATGTATATAAACATAGCAAAAGACTGTCATTAGAAATTACCTTTTATATTAAAAATCCAAGAATATCAGTACAAAAATGTATTAAAAAAACACATGCACCACACTACATCCTCTACACTACATCTTGTTTTAACAAATCTGTTAATAATGTGCAACAGATCAGACTAGTACAAACCAAACTGTCTAAATACAGGTGTAACATACAAACAAACACAGACCTGCAGGTCTCTGTTGTGGTTTTCACACAGCAGCTGTAGGAAGCGCAGTATTGGCTGCATGATGAGAATGACGGGGCTCATCTCTCCTTGCTCTGCCCCTTTGTCTCCCCCTCCCCTGTCTCCATCAGTATGACCATAGGCCTCCTCAGGATCAGCATCACGACGATACGAGCCGAACGCCTTCTTTGTCACTGCTGACGCCTCCAAGAGCTGCTCCCGTGCATCATCGGTGACCATCACTACTGAATCTTTTTCTAGACAATATATCAAACATAGTACGTCATCATCTTCCTTAAGTCACTGTCATCACAGTTCTGGATCATGTGACCTTATGTGCTCAGACACAAACCACACAGCATTATGTGCTAATCAGCATCACTAATCAACTAATCATCACATTCATAGCCTTAGGTTATGACGCATGCAGCTGACCTCTCCGGCGCTGAGGAGTGTCTCGGTCCGAACCATGGTCGTCGCGGCGCTTGTTACCAAGGTCACTGGTGTTGACAGTAACCGTGGCTTTTATCTCTTGTTGGGCAGCTTTCATTCGGTCATAAAAAACTCGGAAGAACTTTTCTGACTTTTTATCCTCTGTCAAACGTTTAAAAAAGGAACGCTGTAGCAAAACAGACATGAGGATGAAACATGGCAAATATGTTTACTATATCAACTGCAACTCATCACTTAGCAGTGTAATTATTATTGTTTTGATATCCATTCAATTTCCACTACATAATTGTTTAAATGTATGTAATAGGTAATAAATTACAAAGTTGTGTAATTTCTTTCATTCAAATTGGATTTACATTCAGTCTCCACTTCCACCTCTTCAATGTAAAAAAAACTATAAAATTATGAAATTCTTAATGAGCTATGAATGAGAAACAATTCATATAAATTGACACTATGCCAGCAACATCTGGGACTTCTAAGACTTAATCAAGTGAAAAATTCAAACTCCTCCACATGTTCTGACCTGTATGGTTGTGTTTCCACCCTCCAGGAGGGCAATAGCCAATAAGATGCTCTCATGAAACACACGGTCACTGTTTGTGTTCATGATAAGGTCGATGACCAGGTCAGATGCCCCCTCACGATCCAAGTGACACTGCACTTCTGTCAGAGACATTTCTGCTCGACTCAGAGCACCTAATCACACACATACACACACATACACAAACAAACGCACACACACACACATTAATTGTAATGATACATGGGATACTGATGTTTTATATTGAAGTAAGAATTACATTAACTGTAAAATGCTATAACAATACAAATAATCAAGTGCAACAAATAAAACCATCACTCCATGAACCCACCTGACTGGTTCTTGTTTGGACCTACAGGCGTAAGGGCAGAGTTACTGAAGGTTGTCAGACTGTCTCTCCTACCACCAGTCCTGAAGTTCCCATAGTAACGGTTCACCAGCAACTGCCTCAGAGCTTCTCCCTATGAAGGCATATTGAGCAAATATGAGTATGTGCGTGTGTTTCTATTTTTTCCCTTTACTGCTTTAATTACACATATACACATATAATATATTTACATATGACTGTATCTTACTATATACTACCATCAGGAAATGTGTTTTTCTATTTTTCATAAATAAAGAACTTTATAAATAAGTAAGTACAATAAATTTTATTTTTATATTTACATTTACAAGTTTAATTTTTTTAAAGGAAGTCTACATATTTTTTTCATTTTTCACGTCACAAATGCCCTCATCACTGTCCTAATATTACCAAATCGAATGCATATAAGCTCAGATTAATAAATCTGGGTAAATCAACTACTTTAATTGAGGGTAAGAAATCCACAATTGTTGTTGCTGAATTAGGTTTGTACAAATCCTATTCCTCCACATGTATATAAATGGTACACATGACATGTATGTTCGGATTAAAAGAGTGTGTGTAGTTAGTGCAGAGTTGATTGATTCCAGAGGTCAGGGTTCAGGGGTCAGGATGACCTACCCTCCTCTGATCCTCCTGCAGTTTTGGTGGCAGACTCACATCCACCTGCTGAGTGAGTGAGCAGAGCAGACAACAGAACACTAACACAGAGTTAGTCAACATCACCATGCATTAGCGCACAACATACATACACAACACCATGCAGCACAGTGTAACGATTAAAAACTGAGTGTCTAGTCAGTGGCAATGGATGGCTGCAGTATGCAATTTGTTTAAAATGTATTTATTTAATTCAAGTCAAATGCACTTATTGGAAAGATTAGTGAAAAGCACAGGAGAAAAGCAGAGCTCCAGGAGTTTTTTTTAACATGGTTACTGTAGCCGATACTATAACACTAGTATGGAAGGACACTTCTTCAAAAACAAAAAAGTATTACCACAATAATTATGTCATAGGCCACTATTGCTGAAAAACACTACATTAACGCAGCTACACTGTAAACAATGAAAGTCAAGTCAACTATATATAATTATAAGGTATAAGGTGGGCATCTGCACAGCTTTTTTGAATGATGTAAACTGAAGGCAACTCAAACTGCTTAGTTGAAATGTCTTCTAACTCACAATTTTAGTATTGCATCTCATAAACAATACAGGTTAAGCTGAGCTAATTAAAACTAATTGTGGTTTCCTTCTTAAAAACTGAAACTGCTTTGCTCATTGCTATTTCCGACCCACTGGCTTGAGCTCCCCCTATTGTATAAGTCCTCAGATCTGGAGGGATTGAGAGCTGAGTGTTTCCTCCCAGTCACAGACTGGCTGTGGTGTCACTAGGATTTAAACTGGTGAGCTTCTAATGATTAGTCAGTACTAAAAAAACATGTAAAAAACTAAAACTAAACCACAAGGTTAGAGTTAGGGAACTCTTCCAGCACTGCAGCTGGTTGAGCTGACTTTTAATTTTTACAGTGTACTTTTTATTTTATCACAGCGCTAAACAGAATATTACATAAAGGAAGACATACCAAGCGAAACAGCCCAATAAAACAGACAAACAAAATAAAACTTTGAAATATTACTACCAAACACTTTCATATTCTAACAGTTACACATGGCTATCGATAGCTGGGTTTTAAAGAGTTTAAAGAAACACTCCAAATAAAAATCTAGACATATGGAAGAAAGAGACTGAAGAAAAACCACAAAAAGACAGGACAGGACAAATAAGAAAACAGACAACAACCTCAGTAACATCCATCTCATCATCAAATGCCATGGGCTGAAAAAGAGGAGTGAGGGCTGGGTTAGCAAATGAGTGCACACATGTCAAATGAAGCAAGTAATTATTAGTGATATAAGGTTAAAGAGAGACAATAAACAAGTACAATAAACATGCAAATGGCATATGCATACAATAAATGCATATGAAGATTCTATTAACAGAAGTGAAAAGCATGATCACACATGCACAGAGTGCAAGGAAAGATAGCTAGTACAAGCTAGTGACTCCATAGTATTTCTCTAACAGTGCTGCAGGATGACTAACCTTCCAGTCTGACTGTAGGTCACAGCTCTGGCATCTACTGAACTGCTAATATTTGAAGATGTCTGTTCTTGTAAACCTACTCGTTCTCTGACCTGCTATTAGCTGAATGTTAATTATCCTAATTTTCTCCTCTCCTGTTACCTTCTCTCCATATCCTCTGTCTTTGGTCATCATTTCCCGGAGGGTCTGCAGAACTTTGATGCACAAGCGCTCCTCATTCTCCTCCAACAGCTGCTTTGTGTGTTTTATCAACCTGTGGAGAAAAGGATGAAAACTACATCTCAGCATCCTAAGTGGGTCCTCATTAAGCAGCTTACAATATATACAATATACAATTTGATTCACTAAACACTTTTTTAGTCACTGCATAATTCTATAGGTGTTTTTTCATTGTTTTAATATATTTATTACAGGGTGTGTACACTTTTTAAACAGAAGAATTATATTTCTTTTTTTCATGATATAAATTGAAATTTCTATGCCAAACGTTTAGCATAGGACTCAGCAATACTGTCAATATTGGTACACCATGACGTTAACATTCTATATGATGTTGCTTTCCAGTTAAAGTGACTGTTTTAGCAATATATTTAATAGTTAATGAGCATTACAAAAATCCCTGTTGCCAAGAGGTTTGGTTTTAGTTTTTTTGTGCACTTTTCTCATGGTGTCCAAGCCCTGACAGTTAACTGTAATATAAGTTATTTGCTTAAAATACATAAAAATGAATAATTATAAATAACATGCTTTCTTTTTGGAATTGCGCTTTCTGACTGGTTAAAGTTTACAATTCACTGTGTATGGTTTTAAGTGTAATAGTATGAAAATAATGTTTAAGAAGAGCAGCATTGTGTTGAAGGGTTAGTGGACTCATACTTGCAGATAAATCCTCCACTCTCACACTTGCGATGGGCCTCAGTGTGTTCTGGAAAGAGCAGCTCTGGACGATGGAGAACGTCCACCAACACAGACAACTCAGCCTGCACTAAAGGCCTCAACCGCTCCTCTAAAGCTGAAACAATGTCCTACACACATACATACACACTCAGAGTGAGGCACTGACGGGAAAGATAAACATCATTAACACTGACAAGGCATGAACTCTTTGAAGTTGCAAAGTAATCGCAAATATTAAGTAAAAGGACACAAGCATCACCCTTCAATCACAAGTGGCCACTGTCTCACCTGCAGTCTCTCAATGATGTTACGGTAGTCGCGGGATGCTGTGAGGACAGAATCTCTCCTTGCAGCGTTGCGGGCAGACAGCCTCCAGCTTAGAGCTGTTTTCTGCACAATGTTGTTGGACTTTATGAACAGATTGTTCACCTGACAATCCAGATCCACTGGGATGGCTATGGCCCGGCCCTTAGCTGCACAGCAGATACACAAACCACAGCTCTAGAAATTTTCTATCTGCAGTAATGTAAAGATCCTGGCAGAAATGATAACTGGCTGAAATTAATTAGGTGTTGCTATTTTACAGCCAGAATACTAATTTAGCACTATAGTGATAAACTTCTAGCTTCACCCTTGTAGAAAACTTTTAATAAATTTTACACGTGAATAAAACATGGGATTTTTGCACATTTCACATGTTAAAAATATGAGACTTTTCTGTAAGGGTAAATGTGACTGTTTGTTCCCCAAAGTAATGAAGGTATAAATGTGAGTATAATAAATAAAGTGTTACTAAGGCCTCTTGTGGTCAAGTAAGATTATGTCCGGGTAATATATTTTGCTCCCTGAGGCTTCGATATATGATTGGTGGGTTCCTTACTACACATTTTCTCTCTAAATTACTTGCCCACTGTTTACACCATGGTTTTACCAATACTACAAATTTAAACATCCGTCATCAATAACATTCCAGAATAGTGACGGTAATGGCCCAAAAGATGTTTATCAAGAAAACAGAACAGACTATTTTGCGGGAAGATGAGCTCTTACCCACGTCACTGAGAACCTTTATGCAGGCCTCCACACTGCCCTTCTGACCTGGGAGCATCCAATTACAGTGATACACACGAAACACTCCCTGCAGAAGCTGTACAAACACTGGCTGACGGGTCTGAGATAGAAGGAGAAAAGAGAGTACGTGCACACAAACATATAGAGATAGAGAGAGAAAGAACAAAACAAGTCTTCAAACCATGGTCCAGGGAATAAGACTGGGATTAAGCAATGGGATTGGGAACAATTTTCACAATGAATTTGTTGACGGCTGTAGTTGCTGTCACCTGCAGGCTGGTGCTCTGATCAGAGAACGGGGAGCTGAAGAAGGTGGTGACGATGCTCATGATGGTCTCAGTGACATAGCGCTCCAGAACCGTGTCTGCATGCTTACGGTCACTTGTGTTGTTACACACCTGCACAACAGAAAAGCAGAAACGACACATGTAACAAGATTGTGTCTGATACATATTTTATCAAAGATATTAAAGACTGTGCTCATGTATGGAGGATAATTTTATTTTATTTTATTATTGATGTACAGAGGAGTTTTAGCAGAGGGGCTAAACTCTAAGGTGCTTTAGAAAGGGAAACCACATGGGAAGGATAAAACATCCAGTTGCCATTCAACAAAATCATATTTTCCCCGGAATGCAACCACTGCACATTTTAGTATAATACTGTGCGAAAATCAGAGATCACCTTTTTATTTAACTTATTCTTAGTCACAGACAACCATTAAGTACAAGTTATTAATTTCTCAGCATCTTAAGAAAGAAAAGAACAAATATATTTAACAGAAAACTGCACGTAAGTCTCAACATCTAAATGTAATACACTTGGTCTACACTTTGCCTTGATTGCATGTTCCATTCTTTTGGTTAGACCTTCTTTTATTTAAAAAAAAAAACAACCAAAAACAAAAACAAGATTATTTTTCCACGCCTCCAAAGTTCAGTCTTATTAGTTGGCTGCATTTATGCTTCTCAAGATCCAAGTAATCTTAGACACATTAGATGTTGAGATCAGTCCTGTTCTGACAACACAGGCAGATATGCTTTATTTGATTTGCAATGTTTCTTATTTTTTATCATTTTCTTTTTCTCAGTAACAGCTTTTTGACAGCTACATATCCTTCTAGACTCATAGTGCTGAGTTGCTTCTCAGAGTGGAAGGATGGACAGAAACACCTGAGGGTTTTTTCAGATCTGAACCAAGAGTGGAGCTTAATTTTCTCATATCGCTCAAAGACGAAAGCCTTATTTACTGTTTATTTATGGTGACTTTCTTTATCTTCATGAAAATGGATAACCTTATATCTAATCTCCTCAGAAATATTTCTTAAAAATGAACTTACATGTAATGGCAGTTTTCAATAACTAAATTAATTAGGGGTGGTCTCTGACTTCTGCCTAGTACTGTAAATAGCTTGTTTCCTATTGCAACAGTAAAAAATGTTTAACAATGTTCTACTGCATCTTCTCTACTCCTTCCTAAAGCAGACTGTGTTAAGGAGAAACAAATATATCCATCCTGAGAAACTAGCATGCTAAAACGATGGTCACTGGATGGTACCACAATGCTTCTTTAGCAAATTAAAACACTAATGTTGAAGATTAGCATGATGCAGCTTAAGCTAAAATAAATCATCTTTTGAAAAGAATGATAACACCTTTTCGAGAACAACTGATTTTTAAGAACTCAGATTACTGGGATTATTTAACGCAAAAAGCACTCCTTACCCTGCAAATGTCCACCAAGAAGTCATCAAACAATTTCCACATATGATTACTGGTGTAGATCTCCTTCATCTCGACCTCTGTGTCTACATAGCAGTGGTTGAGGAAATTCACATATGCCATCTTCACCTGAAAAAAACAGGACTGGTCATTCAAGCTTACATTTTTCTTAAAGACACATCTGCATGCACGCTGAACTGACTCTTCACAAACTAATTCATAGTCTTTTCATTTACAACCCAACAACATCATTTCGGTCTTTCACAAGCACACACCTCCGGGATGCAGTCCTCATGTGTGACCACACGCACAATGTCATCAAGCGGGAGAAGAGAGTTGCACTTTATCTCAGTGTAGACATTCTTACCCTCTGTGCACAAGGCCAGTAACTCCACCAGGTGGATATGATACCTAGAGGACAGGGATATATACAGGTTTAACATATAGCCCACATAGGCAAATTTATTCTTTTTATTTGGCAATTTTATGACGTAAATAATGTGAGTCAGATAAGTGCACTCACACTGTATTTGCATGCTGCTGCTACATACCTATACCAAAATACAGAAGCGTAACTATGCTCAGTGCTTATGTTAATGTAATGCTTTCTTTCATGTTATTTAAATAATAACTATTCCATCTATGATTTAAAATGCCAGTCCAAGTCTTTGAAGAACAAATGGTGTTATATGATACAATTAACCGCTGTGGAAAAAAACTGCAGTCAGCTTAAATAATTGTTTTCATGTCAACTAATTGAGGGCAGACAATTATGCAATAACTGTGACAGGCGTATTTAAAAAGAAAGAACATGGGAGGGGATGTGTCCTCACCAGTCTAATAAGTGAAGCCCCGCCAACAACACACTGCACTGCTGAAAGTCTCACATATCTCAAATAAATACACAAACACAATATACACACACCTGAGAGCACTGTTCTCATCTAGGCGCTCTCTCTCTAGACGCATCATCTGTACCAAAGTCTGAAACGATGCACGGTCGTTGTAGAACACGAGGACATCCTCACCTGCTGTCACCAACTTCACACACACACACACACACAAACACATGAACTGCAGTTAGCAAATGCACAAATAGTCCTGAAGCTACCACAGCACATTTTAGTACAACAGGAGGGCTCTACCTCATCGTCTCTATGCCATTCTCAAGCAGACCTGTATATCAAAAGTAACTTTTTAAAATCAGCACTGAAAGACATAACTAGAATGCTTTAAAACTTTATAACACCAGCTATGCATCTCAACACAATGAAAAAAATGCTGCACTACTCTCTCCCAAATCACTACACAACTGGAAATTATTCATATAATTTCCATGCATATGCTGCATGGTCACTACTTCCAAAATCAGGCACAGAAAGAGAGACAGTAAATACATAAAATACATAAATACAGTATTTTATCATCTTACCATCATACCAGTTTCATTTCTTGGTGTCTGTTACATAGTACTGTTTTAAGCATGTAACTGACACACAGCGAGATCTAGTCAGGGCTAAAGTGCAGCCTCCATATGGTACAATTGGCTTTAACAGGGTGTTACAGTTAAGCCTCCTAAAGTAAACATGTAGTCCATATCCTCCATGTAAATTCAAAACAGTTTATTTCTTTGAAAGTTTTTATTCACAGATTCATCAAAACATAAAGTAGATGTCATGTAAACAAAATATACACAGTTTTATTTGCTGATATTTCATCTTCTACATTGTGGTCAAAAATACATTTTCAATGTTTAACAGCCTTTTATCACTAGTCACACTTATTTTGATGTATATATTTAAGGCTGGAAAGCTCATCTTGTTCAAACAACATAGACTTGAACTGAATTCATTGTGTTTACATTGATTTACTCAACTTTTTAGAGATTGCTACAACTAGCCCCCTAGCCTGTTACTATTAACCCTGTCTGTGGGGTAACATTTGCAGTCCCTCTGCTTTGGCAAGTGCCAGAACCGCTCAAGTACTTTCAAAACTATTTAGCAAAAAAACAAAATGTGCTAAGCTGTGCCCCCTGTCCCCTAATAGAACAATCCAACTGGTAAAGGTGCATGCCTTTTGATACCATGGTGGCCAAGTTTCCAGATTGCAAAGCAGTAAAACTGTCTTGTAAAACTGACTTGTATCAAAAGTTAAAATGTTTATATATCTGCACAAGCGTGAATTTTCGACTAGCAAATTTTATGATCAACAGCCCACAGCAGCTGCTGAATTCCTACAAGTCTGTTTCATACAGACACCTGAACATATCCATAGACAAGCACAGTATTTCCAAGGTTTTCATTTATTTCTGAAATGTAAGTGTAGGTGTGATATCTCCATTTAGAAGTGTATTTTCTGTATACTGTTGCAAGTAAGTTGAGGTATAAAAAGTGTGCATATGTATAACATGAAACAATAACAGTAACTTTATACAGTCACCAGTTAGAAACTATTAAGGGTGACTAGGAGCATGTTTTCCTTTAGTAGTCTGATACATGAGTGTTAACCAACCTCAGCCATGACGATATCCTGGCATTTCTTGATGAACTTGTTCTCAGCTTTGACTATGGTCTGCAGGAATTTGAGGTAGTGAACGCTGCGGCCGTGTGTCTCGATGCAGTGAACAAAATGCTGCACTACTCTATCATTAATCTCACTGCACAACTGGAAATTATTCATAAAGATATGCTGCATGGTCACTGCTTCCAAAATCTAATAGACATAGAGAGAGAGAGAGAGTGAGAAAATATAAAATAAATAATTATTATATTGTTTATATTAAGTTAAACAAAATCTTATTTTAGGTATTTACTGAAGATAAAATGATGTATTATATGTATTGTATATAAAGTCCTGTGCAAATGTCCTAGGAGGACCTAAAAATTATTTTTAACTGTTCATCTCAGCAGTCAATGTGTTTCGTTTGTTACAAATGTATATAACATTAGAATAAACACAAATAAACATGAATACAATACAAAAATAACAGAAAAAACTTGAGATTCATATTGATATTTTGCTGAGAGGAATGCAGTTAGAAGAACACAGTGTGTGGTTCCTGACTTTTCTGTGTTCTCCAGCTATTGCAGGGATTTGTTAAATTCCAACACCAGCACACCTGATTTAATTTAATGAAAGACTGATTAGCTGAACTCTCAGTAAATACTGAGCTTTCTCTTGGAGAGCTTTAAATATGGTTAAGGTAACATGCTGACACACATAACATCACAATTTGTTTATATTTTATGTGTATTTATTCTGTTAGTGTTTTGTTAATAAGCTTTACACATTACTTTCTCAGAATTTTGCACAGTACTATGTATACACTTTATATGTTCTAATAATATATAATAATTTATTCAATTTTAGATTTAAAAAATAATAAATTGTATCTTCTAAATTATATATTATTTTACTGTTACTATATACATGTTAGCTATACTATTGATGGTGATGGTGTAAAAGCCTACCCCAGGATTGAGGAACAAGTTGATGTGTTTATGAAGAAGTGCCTGGTTCTGCTGATTTCCAGCACAGAAATTCTGAAGGAACTGATGAGCCAACGTCATAATCTCCTGCATCCACACATCTTCTCCCTTAAACACACACACAAACACATACAAAGAGTGCTAAATCAAATCATAGACTGAAGCACCAGCATAATGGGAACACAACAAAGTGAATGAAGTCAAAATTTCCAACACACAACACCACTACCCCAACACACTTTTTCATAGGGGATTTGTAGCAATTCCAGGACTACTGAGTGAGCTCCCATATTCCTGAGGAGACGCTGCTGCTGCTTCTTGTTTTTCCTGCCTGAAAGACACTCCATCACACACAGCTTGCTCAGTCTCAAGAGAATCTGCAGATATTCATACACCCACACCACAAAAACACAGACATGTATGACCGTAAGTACCTTCTTAAAGCTGAGGACCATAATACATGATTATATCCAAAACACACAGCCTAACCTCCTTCACAAGTCGGTAGTTGGAGCTGCTGGTGCTCTCCACTTTGGGTTTGTCTAATCCATCAGAAATCGAGTCACTCTATTAAATGGAAAATAAATAGCAACGCACTGTATTAGCTTGACATTTTCCAGAATTCTGCAGTCAGAAGTAAATCTGCACAATTAATTAGTGCTGGGTGATATTGCTAAAATTCAATATCACAATATTTTCATAATATTTCATGGGATCAAACAATATTTAAGTTGGCATTAAGTTAATAAACCCATGCTTCCTGAGTACTGGTACAATTAGCTAAGACAATGTCTTACTAACTTGACACTGCTTGTTTTTGATTGGTATGTTTTGCTCCATTTTCTTTTCCTAAAATTACATCTGCAAACTGTACAGTTTAAATAACAAAAAAACACACCTTTAACCTCAAAATGTTCTGAATGTTTAAACTGCTTTCCACTATGTATTTACCTTGTGATGTGTTTCTGGGGTGATGCCCTCTCCTGTGTGGAGTCCTGAGTCTGACCCCTGCCTCTTGTAGACCCACAACTCAGACTTTTCCACAACAGACCTCAGCTGGTCCAGATCTGCCTTAATCTGCTTGTAGTTCTCCACGTCCTGACTGGTCACAAGGAGCTGCACCTACACAAGCAACAACAGCTTATATGAGACAAAAACTCTATAACAAACACAATAAATCACTTTTTATAGGCAACATTTATTTATGTTAATTTTAAAAACAGTGGCTGACATCTCATTCCCATTAACTACTGGTGGGGTTCAAACTGCTGATTAGGGTAAGATTAACAAAAATATTACAAATGTGAATACATTTTAGAACTCACAAGTCACAATGCTGATTATAAAAGCATTTCCACCACCTTCTTAAATTCTAAAGGCCCATATGCTGGTTTCACATTTTAATCCATCTCGTCTCTGGTCATGGAGCTTTTTAGAAAGATACCTAGGTTTCTTAGTTTGGGATTCAGTTTGTTTGCTTGCTTCTATGGCTGCAGCACACTGTATTAGCCTGTCAATTTGCTTCATATCTTGCAAGCCAGTGTCGAAATGGTACTGGAAAATGGGCAGTGGGTGGGATCACAGGCCAAAACACAAACAGACTTTCTGCTCCAGAACAGAAATTTCAAAGGAGAACATACTGGCTATAGCACTGTTGTCAGTGCTGGAAGCCAGTAATTAAACTTAGCATGTTTCCTTAATCTCTGATGACATATCATGCTCATTTTATGATTTTGTACTGTAAATATATTACATATGGTTCCCTTCGGTTAGCTTTTGTTTCACATGACATATATATATAAACATATTTGAATCCTGAACATTAAGTCTTGAGATAAATTAAGCCTATGGTTCAAGGAATTAAGAGTATGGGTGATACCTGTTTAAAGGCCTGCAGGACCTCCTGGCGCTGGCTAAAATGTCTGAAGAGCAGGTGCAGGGCTCTGGACACCAGCGGAGGATAGTCATGCATGGTCAAGTGGAGAAGTACCCTCAAAAATGTCCGACCTCCGTGGTCATCCAGATCCAGAGGAGTGTTTTCTTCACTAAACACACATAAACACGTGTACATTTAACAGTTATATTGGCAGGTATACACGTGCACACGTCAGACACAGTGCATGACAATGGCCATAAAATCTCACCTTCCTCCAAAAATCCCCTCCGCCTGCTCCTCAATGTGTTCAAAGTCCAGTGCACCTAAAAAACACAAGAGTTTTTTTTCACACCACATATACTAATACTCTGTAGCCATAAATACTCATACCCATCCAGTGAAACACAAATGCCCACAGACTCTTACCTTGAACACTGGTGTGTGAGTCTGGGTTAATAGAGGTTTCTGCCTGAGAGTTACTCTCGTCAAACTCTCTCTTAAAGATACTCAGCAGGCAGGATATCCGGTAATCCAGTCGCACATTGAGTATGAACTACACAGAGAGCACAAATAATATTTCAATTTTCTGCATTTATAGAGCAGTAATGTACAACTAGAGAACAGGTTGGCTTTAGCCGTTATATGCCTGACTAACAGATGAAAGCTTGTGTCATCACTAATGTGTAATCCAAGTTTAGAACTCTGCATGATTAACACTGTTATTTGTTTACCTGCAAGATCTCTATTATCTTGAGCTTGGTGTCCATGACGAGTATATCTTGTTTCTGAGGTTCTGTTTGGGCTTTGACAGAATCTCTGTCTGGGTTAGCGCGGGATGTGGGTGGCAGGAAACCGCCACCTCTCAGCACCACCTGTGTCATCAGCTCCCCCACGCCATGGATGGAGCGCATCACATTACTGCCTGCACACACAGACAAGGGAGGGAATAAGAAGAAGTAGCCTGGGGACTCATTGCTCTGAACAGGTTCAACTATTTCCTGCCTCAACACATCTGATCCACTGAATGAAGGGCTTGATAATCAGTTGGTGAGCTTAATCAGGTGTGTTAAGGCAGGGAATAGTTGAAACTGTGCAGGGTAACGAAACCCCATTAGCAAGATTAAAACACTACTTAAAATAATTTTGCTGTATTGTTTTGTGATGTGCAATTCAGGCAAAAACTGCTTGCCAAATTTTCATGTTATTTGAAAAATAGGGATGCACTGAAGTTTTCGGCCAAAAATAATTAAAAAAATGGCACTTTCAATTTTGGCCTACAAAGTGTAAAAAATGTCAAAATACAACATTGCACAAATAATTTTAACGGTAATGAAAACGAGAAATAAAGATTAAAAATGTTGTAGTAACATTTGTTGCAGTAAATCGACAGCAAATATGTCAGCTGCGCAGAACTGTTTCACCATTTCTACAAGGGACATTAAACAAGCAATTTGTAATTAGTGTTCATATAAAGAATGAAGAGGGGATGTCATACCCAAAAACATCTCCACTATAGGTTTGATACCACTTGAAAAACAATATCCTGCTTGATACACAGAATACAGCAAAACATATTGTACATATTGTAGCCTACATACCATTATAATTTTATCAAGTTTATTTATGTAAACTATTTTTAGTTATTGACAGCATTGTTTGGCTTTTGGCCCAGTGTGTCCTGAATTTCGGTTTCGGCCAGGACTTTCATATAATCTCTAGGTGCATTCCTATTGAATGCTATACAAGCTCTTCTTCTCACCCACATTCATAATCACAAAAACAAACATAATCATCTTAAAATAATATTGAAAATAATAACAATATGGTAATAACACTGAACAGCAATAACATAAAATGAAAACGCATGTCTTTTATTGAATGCCATAGCTTATAGTCTTTTCTGTTTAGGTTTGAAACATTACAAAATAGATTTTTAAAAATCCATACTTATAAAACTAACTTCACAACAAACAACCCCTACACAATAATTCTACATTTCTAATCAAACATGTAAGATGCACAATGTAAGACGCAGGTTCAACACTGTCCTCTGGTGGACTGTAGAATTCAAACATTTTAATAATCATTTGGTTATCAAAAAGTTTAATTCAGATTTTTTTAGACTTTTGTTGTTGCTTGAAAATCTGACAATTTATTCTCATAATCCCTGATATTGTAATCCCTATACCTTTTATTACAGGGTTTAGTTCTGAACAAAGTTCTGTCTGTGTATGCCTGTCCACTATCTGAACCTTATATGAACACAGCTCATTTAACCTTTCATGCATCTGACCTTTGCCAGGCTCTCGGTCCAGTTTGACAGGGAAGGAGGTACTGATATGCACACAGTCCAGAATGGCCAGCAGGATCTTAGTCAACCTCAGTAAGTCACTGAAGTTATAGAAGCCAAAGTAGATCAGGTTCCTTGCCAAGTTCACCACCTATAACACAGAGCACAGGGGAAGAGTGCAAGACAGGGTTCTGTAGTGAGACAAAACACCAGACAGGCACAGCATGTCCAGTGTTTAAAGTGATCATGGAATGAAAAAGAAGGAGTAGGTAAGAAGACGAACCTCAAAGGTGAGCTTATTTTTCTCTTTGTCTGAAAAGGGAAAGCTCTGGCACACAACGTCCCGCAGGTAGTTCTCTACAAACTCCATTGTCTGGGAAAACTTCTCCTTCACCTCATCACGGGAAGTCCCATCATTATCATAACTATTTGGAAAAATACAACAAATGAGGTACTGACTGGTTGAAAACATACCACTAAGCTCTGCAATGTAACCCTTAAATGCCTGGTATTTCACCAACCATTCGTACATACCTTGGATCACTTGCACTCGTATGCAAAAGTTTGAACACACTGGTCAAATTACGTTTTGTTGATGTTTTAAGTAATAATAAATTAACACAATTTCTACAAGAAACCACTGTAAATATGCCATTTTCTGCAAATATAAGTTTATCTTGGGAAAACATAAAAGATAAAACCTAAACATAACTTTTGCAAAGGCAACATTTTTCCTTTAAATCTGTTAAATTCAGAAAATCAACAAAACATGTAATTTCACCAGGGGCACCCAAAGTTTTGCATATGTGGCTAACAAACTGATCTACAAAAATTGCCATAATAGAGCAAAACTCTCAAAGCATCTTACTCATAATCAAAAAATAATAAAACATAATATTTTTACATTTTATTCTGTCACTTATCCGAAAAAATGGACAACGTAGAAGGGGAATGAGGTTATGTACCACCAGCAACCTGAGGTATGATTTATGAGTTAATATGATCAGCAGTTGAATGTGTCACTCACTCATCAATGGATATCTGGGATGGGATTTCAGACCATAAGCGTGCATATTTGACGGGTGTGACCTGTTCCTGTGGGTCACGGTCCACATGCATGTGCAGCATCATGCGGCAGAAAGAGGCTCGGAGGTCAAAAGGCAAATCTTCATCAGACATGCAGCGTAATATCAGATCCACATCTAGCTGAGCTGAGATCTTATTGATGGCCAAATACTGACGGTCCAGACACATCCGAGCAAACAGATTCAGCTGGTACCTGACAGAGAGAATCTCAGAATGTAACATCCCCCAATGGAGAAATGTGCATTACTGGGATTATATAGGGATTATAATGTGTGTATGTGGTGAGGCTGTTGTATGGGGGGTCTAATGTGTTTGTGTATATCATGTGTGTACCTGTAATAACTGATAACCTCCTGGTCCTCAGTGTGTCCCTCTTTGGCATCCTGTGCAAGCTCCCTGATGCTTTTGCTCTTCACCTCACCACTGCTGTCCTTCCAGAACAACCACACTTCCTCTTCATCTTCCTCTTCATCCTCTGCACTCTCCCCAAGCACTGGTCCTTCCACCTCGAACCGTGACAGTACCAACCTGAAACATACACAGACAATGTAATATAACAAAGAAATACACATAAAGTATTATTAGTTTTACATAATGAACATGTAAGTGTGGCATCCCTGATGGTAAGAGATTCCGGCAGAGATGTTCACAAGTCACCTTATGTGAGTTAAGCCTCATGTCTTTAACTGTGAACTTCACACTGTGCAGTGCAACATTGTGGGACAGCATCAGTTACAACTTTCTGAGTGAGATGGTCTTGGATGTATGCTTGAAGTAAGACCATCATGCTCTCACATTATAACTTCAATTGCAGGTTAGCCCCCAGGCAACCTAGCATACTATCCAAATTACTGTCTAATAACTTTTTTGGTGGGTGTTTACTTTTTTGCAAAGCACCTCATTGAAGTGGCTTGTAACTCAGTCACTCACTCATGTTTTAGCTGGCTAATACTGTCCACATGGGGTACCCTTAGCAAAAAGGGTACCTTCAGCAGTCATATGGCTTTTGAAACTTCATAAGAGCAGTGCTTCGCAAGAATGACACTATGTATCCTTATTTTTTAGGTTAATCATAAGATTAATGTTTTGCCAGTTTTCTTTAAACACAGCATTTATTTTATGTGTCACTCTAGCTATGTCCATCAGATTACAGTTGTTTGCAACCAAATTTTAAGATGTCCGTTATATGAAACCATACTGAACCTGACACCACTGTGAGCTGTGATTACTGTTGCAAATTGACAAGCAGAAGGTTAAAAACAGAAGGTTTTATTTTGCGTGTTAAATTTCTCAGGCTGAAATTTCATGAGTCTTTAGTCTAGAATCTGAGTCGAGTTTCCATTAAAAGCAAGTCCTCATTGGTTCTATTCAAGCATGCATCTAATTTTCAACAGGAAACTATGATAAATAACACCAGAATTGACTTATTCCGGGTTACCAAAAACATTTGTTCTATCAGACTACAAAAAAGTTACTAAAGTCAATAATATTCCTACTGACGTAAGTGCTATTATAGCATTCAAAGATGGCTAAAGCTCCTTGATAGTCAGTCTGCAGTGATATGGTATAGGGATCATGTCATACTTGGTCTCAATAAGAATGTCAGCGTTGGCTGGATCCAAAACAGCATTACAGATGAGCTCCTGAGTCACAGGAATGGATTTGTTCATCGACACACACAGATCAGACAAGTAATCCAGGAACCTACACATACAGAAAAATGCACGTTACACACATATGCAGCCATGCAAAATGACAGTATTACATATGGCAAATCACAGTTCTATTTGAAAAGAGTTGCGATAATTATTTCTCTGTCTACAACTCTATCTCTCTCTCTCATTACAATATAACGCAGTGTACAGTGTTATTTGGTAAGATATTTTTTGAGAATTGGAGAAGGTAACACATCTCTTTTTATCACAGACACACCTAGGCTCTCTGTTCTTGCGGACCAGGCTGACAAAGGTGTCGATCTCGGCAGCGGTGATGTGCTTCTCCAGCAGCTTTCGGTTGTTGTGCAACAGGGCTGTGATGGTGTCCTCTGCCAGCACATCATAGCCAATTTGCTTCTGCATGAATCTGAACTGCTTTGCTATGTACTCCTACATACACACACACATAAACAAGGCTCAATCAACTAGTGCTCCACGACACTAGTTTTGTCCTAGAATTCTTTATGTTGTACCTTGTGGTACCCTTAATAAATATGTAGAAGTAGATTAAATATGCCAGTTTAACTAACGAACCAAGTCTCTCACTGGCAATCCATTCTGAGAATTTGGCAATGGCCCCTTAAACTCATTTTAATCTGCCACCAGAGGAGTTACAGTGCATGCATGTGCACACTGGCCAAATTGCAATGTATCAGCCTGTACAATCAGTGACTTCTACGTGCTCCTGTGCTTTAATTACCAAATACCAAGTGGCATCCTTTAATGTTGAATGCACATATTATCAGAGTGAGCATGCAAGTTCATTCAGAGCATCTCAATCGGCAGTAGCTTATTACTTATGTATTACTTCTATTCATAATCATACATTTTCTTGTTCAAAAAGGCAGCTTGTGACACAAGCAATATAAAAATCTATGTATTTTCAGCTTTGTTAGATCACATTCTTTATATATCAAATAACTGCAACAGCACTGGGAAATGTGATTAATGAGAAGAGCAAATTAAACAGCAGACAACATGCTTTTGCGTTGACCTAAAAGCGCTAACCTTATCATCCTAATGTCTCAATATATTCAGAGTTTCTCCCCCCTTTAACTCATTAAAATCGGCCTCCAGAGAAATTATGACACGTTCACCCTGAGCATAGCAAAATGTATCAGTATGTGGAATTCGAGCTTTCTGTGTGCTATCCTGTTTTCTTTCCTATCATTATGTAAAATAAGTATTATGCTACCTTTACTGTTGAATGAACTGAGATGAGTTTCTGAGAGAAAGCACAAGTACATTCAGAACAGAATTCAGACGGATAAGTGACTTCATAAGATTAACAATATAAGGTACCTTCTTGCTCAAAAAGGCAGTCTGCAACTAAAATAAAATAAAAATCTAAGAATTTGACGGTATTTGACGGTACCTGGTTTTTACGGTAGTCTTGCTGCGAATGCCGCAAAACTCGGTAGCAGAGTCTGCAGATGTGTCGGAAAGGGGCGTGGCGCTGGTCAGCAAGCTCCTCCAATCTCAACATTGGACCATCCCCACTGTCAGTGAAAGGAGCCTGCAGCAGCTTAAAGATCTAACCAATCAAAACAAAGAGACACACATTCATCAGACTAAAGAAAGCAGGAAGCTATTTAAAAAAACAGAGCAGCAGAATTTGTGCCTGTTTCAGGATGTTCTGCTCCCTCATCAGTTTCTGGCGCTCCCTGTTGGGTTTGTTCACTGTAATCTCCAGCACATCTTGACCACTATTAGGAATATCCACCACAAAATACACCAGGTCCTCCAGCAGCTTAGTCACTGCCCTAATAATGAGTAAAAAAAAGTAACAAATGCCAGATGTAAGTCTCTGTATCTTTCAGAATAACGTAGGAAGGACTAAACGCATATCATAAAGTGCAGTTGTGCTTTAACGCTTATATGCCACTGAGTGATTATACAGAAAAATGGATCCATGAATAGAATTGAACGAACAGACGAACGGACAGACACATGAAATGATGGACAGACAGCAAGTACACAAGTATGTATGGACAGAGAATTAATCTACCTCCTCTCATTCTGGGTGATGGTACCCTTTTCCAGTTTGCCAGCAATGGAGGCCAGAACTTTACTGGCATCATTAGCAAAATCCAAATCTCTGACCTCTGCTGGGGACACTGGGACGATAGCAAACGCTTCTTTATCCTCTTTCAGAGGAGATGTTCCTATCTGTGTGTGTTTAATAGAGGGAGTAAGGGAGTGAGTGAATTGAATTCTCAATAAGCAGACAGTAAATAATTCTGTGATTTAAACATTCTAACTCACTCTGAGCATGACTGGTTTCTCTTCTTCCTTGTCTATGGGCTGGTTCGTGCTATGGACCCAGGTGTTCGTGCATAGGTGCCTAAGCCTAACATAAGAGTTCCTAAAAAACACACAGGCATTACACTTAGATATTAATTATGCAAACAAGAGTAGTTACCCTGAGGCCAAATGAAGCAGATTTGCATCAGTAAAAGACAATATTCTTTAGACCAAACCCTACTTTTATCTCTGTCAGTCAAATATCGGTGATCTATACGTCCTACCTTGGCACAAGTGAATCACCCCCTCTCAGAGTAGTAGGGTCCAGCTCAAAGATAGAAGAGATGTCATTGCCATCGGGAACAGACACCAGTGTGTACATGACTTTATCCTGTGGATTTCGCGCACGTGCTCGTATCACTTCATGTTCAGAGTCCAGCTACAATACGCCACAACAATATGCTTAGTCAGATTTAGCCTCTGCAAAATGTTTTTGACATTTCTTACAACATTTCAATACAGTTGTATCTATAGATCTACCACATACCAGTCTACTTATTTGCATAATTCATACATGTTTTGTACTGGAAATACTTCAGTTCACATATACTATGGAGAATTAGAATATACTATCGCATTGAATGCAAAAGAGCAGAATGATCAACTATTAATTTCCACTATAAATTATACCACTATTCAGCACTGCAGGTACGTAGACTGCAAACAACAGTACACACACAGACACACTCACAGAGGAACGTGACTCGAGGCATTCTTCCTCATAGTCTGGGTTTACCTGTTGAAAAGCAGGTAAAAAAGGAGTCAGTGAACACAGATTACTGCATATTTTATATAGCATGTAGATAACATGTTTTTCTAAGCAATTACAATATTTTTTCTGCTGTTGTATTAAGTGTATTGACACTTTGTATTTTAAACTGTAGGTTTACATTTTTAATCTTATAACTCATTATATTAAGTAACTGTTAGAAATTATACAAGTTTGTTCTGACCACACAATCTGACTGTTTGAGAAGCATTCTGATTGTTTGAGAAGTATTCTCTGATACAGTTTTTGTGAAAAGAAATCGTTTCACTGAGTGCCAGTTACTAAGTACTGATTCATTTTAAGCTACAGCTAACCATTACTTTTTCATTGCCATAATTACTACCACCGCTTCTATCTTAGCATATCTAAAAACAGGAAATTAGACCTGCAGCCTACTTGCTATGAAATGTTTTACAGACTGTCTGGAACAAAACAACAACCAATCTTAATCTGGCAGGTATTAAAATACTGCAAAAGCTGAGATAAACCTGATATTCTGTCATTTCTAATGGCTCTATCCTCTATAACTGCCAATATTAAAGTACCTTCAATACAATTCGGGTTTTATTTGCTTTTTTCTTTACAAATCTGTTGTACAAAAACAGTAGAACACTTGAGTTTGTGGGTTCTCATAAACACCTTACTGTGAAGATCAACATCATGCTATTTGTGATAACACATACCTTTCTGCGTACTATTGCCTAATTATTCATTAACCCCTTAAAATCTTCAGCTTATTATAGGTATATAGGGCGGGGGGGGGCAAAATATTTGGAGCAATGTCACTTTTGGCTCTCTAAAGAACCTATCACAGGATGGGTATTTAACTTTAAAATTCCATGTTTATTATGTCTCAGGATTAACTACCTAGACTGCAGTGCACACAAGATGTTCTTAGGTTTGGCCATTTAATGGGTTTTAACTCCTATGAAAATAATTTGTTATTTAATAATTTGTAAAAACTTATGTGGTTATGACAGACAAAAACTGAAATGTGAGCCCTCCTCCAGACCCTTAGGGTTTAAAGGGTTAATGTGTGTTCAAATACTCTGTTTCTAGGTTACGTTTCACCTCTGCAGCGAGGTAATGTCCAGTTGCCAGGTGTTTAAACCTGAACAGACTGTTCCAGTAGCCCGCTCCTCCTCTACAGGGGTCATGCTGCACAACCTGCAAAACACATACACACCTGCTGTATTTCCCAAGGAAATCATATCAACACGTGCACAAACGCTCAACAAGTCCACGTGCCATACACACATGAACATCCACGCGGACACACTGACCTCCACCTCCCAGAGCGCTTTGCTGCTGGTCGCTGAGGTTGCAGACTGGCGTCCAGTGGTACGCAGAAAAACGTACTGCTTCTTCCGGTGATCATCACATGTCAGAAACTTCTCCTGCTCTGCATGGAACAACCGAACCACATCCCCCTAACACACATATACACACACAGATGCAAGCACTCTTTATCCTTTAATCTCCTCCCTATGCAAATTCATAATAAATCAGGCAGAACAGAAAGACGTATAAAAATACAACCAGATGACAGAAAGAACAGAGAATTTTTTCACTCACGCCTTTCAGAACGACCTCTTGATTGTCACTCCATTTCATGAAGAGAACAATTTTCCAACTGGTGCTGCAGTTCACTGAGTTCACCTGTCAGAAAAAAAGTAGAGCAAAAGAGAAATGAATGACAGTGGCAAAGGCAAAGTCAGAGAAAAAAAATGAAAGTACTAAGATACTGAATGTCAAGATGTGACCTGTGGAATGTGTGTTACCTCATTGCATCCTGGGTTATCAACAAGCTGATGGCTGCTAGCATGAAGTGGCTGTCCAGCATTCACAGGATTTAACACTACCTTATCTCCTATGACCACCTGAAACACACAAACAAGCAGGCAAGACATACAAATAGTTCAGTTTTCAGAGTAAAGAACAATCATTTTACATCAAAGACCCAAAACAGAAAGTCACAGTAGTTCCAGTAAATATTAGCTTGTAGTTGGAAGAAAAATAAAAACATAATTACTGAACCTGCTTGATTTTGCTGTTCTTTAATTCAAAATTTTTGTATAGTTTTGGTGTTTTTGATGGTGAAACTTTTCACAGAAGTCAAACTTCGCTCAATTTGAAAATTACGCAGTTTCGCAGGCATTTTTTAGGTATGTTATAGAGTTCTGAGTTCACACAGACTTTCTGCCATCCAAATTCTTCATCTGAAAAGTTGGAGTGAATACGCTGCCACTCTTGTGCAGTACTTACACTGTCTCCGATGGAGCGCAGTTTGTAGAAAGGTTGAATGTAGAACCAAGAGCCTTCATTTCCAGCAGCATCCAGAGTCACACGCATGGCATTCTTCTCCAACAGAGCTGGCAACCGCTTATTCACGGTCAGATACTTATTGCTTTTCAGGTGGAGCAGCTACACATGTACAAATACATTTGACATGGTTAATGGTGTACAGTACTCCAAGTATTTAGTTTGTGTTTGTGGATGAGAGGGCAATTTTACCTGGATGACATTTCCATACTGAATGACAGTTCCCAGCAGCTTCTTGTTTTCTGATTCGTTCTGTTTCTTCTCTAGATCAGCAGCATGCTAAAGGAAAGGGAACGAGAAATAATTCTGGAAACAGTGAGATCGATCCCACAGAAAAAAGCATCTTTGAGAAAAACTGAAAATGTTAAAATTGCTGGACGGGCCTGGGGCCATTTTAGTGGTCATATGACATTACAAATCCACAGCTTCCATAACAACAGCCACCATCTTTCCATAAACAAACAGAGCTTCACACATACACACACACGCGCGCACAGGAGCAGAAGTCAATAGTTCTTGGCCCTGATACATGATCACAAATCCCTTACATAAGGTCCTTCAGACACATCTGTAAAGAAGACTGGCCACAGGTCACCACAGTGCTGTGGTTTGGAATATTGCCATACATGGTCAGAGTGATAGTCATTTTGCATCATGACATCATTTACAACGTGACTAAAAAACTCTAATTAAAATACTGCTTACTTACATTTTACATTATTTTTCTGGGTAGATAATACTGTTGTTAAAACAATAACATTCTGCTTCTTAACAGTATAATAAAAAGGGATAGTTCTTAATTTAAAATCTGTATAGCCAAGCCTAAAATACCTGACACACAAACACACACATGATCATACGTATTAGCTGAGACATACACACTTCACGTCTGATCACAAACACCAGTTGAGTTATCTATTATAGCAACATCTTTTAAACATAGTAAAAATCACAATAATGCACATGGCTTATTGTTTTATTAAACTTTATTACATGTATAACAACAACACAACTCCACATGTTTAAGTATACATGATAGTTGTCTCACGGTGCGGATGCAACTTAAAAATAAGAATGCCTGAGGACAATCAGGGGAAATTTGGGGCTAAATGTGTGTAAATTTCTGGCTAAAGCAGGGGTTGGAACAATATTTAGGGTTGAAACAAAATTTCTAAATTGATTCAAAAAGGCGGAGCTCTTGGGGCAACCGTGTGTTCATCATCACTGTCCAACAGTCAACAAGTATGTCAATAACTCATGGATGGAGGAATTTGGGTCAGGTTGTAGAGGGAGCGTACCCTTGTTATGAAAATAAACTAAAATATATGAAAATATTCTCTGACAAGCTAACATGTTGATGCTTCATCCACTGAGAAGAACAGACCTCAAGTAAGACAACGAGTCCTTATCAGCATCCAGTGTTGGACCAGTTAGCTGTAGTTTTAGCTCCCTCCTTAAGAAGGTGCCTTCATTTCATCCAATACAAAAACTACTGATATCCCTCAGCCTTTTTGAATAATACAATGTTTTCAGAGCACTCCTCTGCTTTCTGCTACATTTCTGTGCTACTGATTTTTTTGCCTCTTACACGTAAAGCTCTCACATAAAAGTGTAATCCTCCATACAAATATTCATTTTGGCCAAAGTACTTTGTACCTTACCAGCGGATAACTGGATATCCGTTCATTAACTCTTGCAGATACTCGAATGACAAAATTGGTTGGAATGCACAGCCCTACCCCAGATGTGCATTCTTGTTATGAGATTGCATCTGGCCCCACAAGACAACTGGATGAAGACAGATCCACTGTGACATACACACAATCAGACATTTTGAGCACACACACAAATATATACACACATCCACTCACATGCAGTTTGTTGAGCAAGACAGTGTCAGTGGTGCTGGTTCCTCCAGGTTTGGCAGCTTTCCAAAACTGTTTCTGTGCTGAATATCTGTTCATGGGACACAGTCTGAACAGACAGTCTGGAATATATATATATATATATATATATATATATATATATATATATATATATAGAGAGAGAGAGAGAGAGAGAGAGTTGGTTAAATAAGAATATAAACCACAATGCAGTACTTCCCAGGTTGAACAGAGAGATGTGTATGAATGTGATTGAGCACCCAGTAAAACTCCCGTTTAGCAATGCCCTGCTGGTTTAAGACTCAGTGGGCAATGTGCTGGAATGGGCCTTCAACAGTGCAACTGGAAAAGTGTGCACAGTCACATGGCAGAATAGTCTGTGTTCTCTTATACACATGTTGAGACACTAAACCATTCTGCATGGCCTGAAATTGTCTAAAGGATTTGTAGACATTGTTAAGATAGTTATGGAAGTCTGATATTTAACTGGCAATACTAAGACACTGGGACTAGTCTGAAAAGAAATATGGTGGCTAAAAGTGATCACATGTTAAAGAGACCTACTGTAATCTTCAAAAAGAGGGACGACTCTAAGATGCTTAGATTATAACAAGAGCTGGAACATATATGGTAACCCACCTTTCTGTGCTCCACCCACAAATACTTTATTTAATGGCAACTGTTACGAGCTTGAATAAGCCTTACAGAAAGCCAGCAAAAACACATAAATCAGAAAAAGAAACTCAAACTGCATACGTATTCTGTATGCATATAAAAGGTCACATTATTAGGACAGATCACATGACATTTCTTGTTTGTTTTTTTTTATTGCACACAATTGAGGTAATGTTAGTGGTGGTAAATTCATTGTCATTTCCAACCTGCCTAAAACAACACATTCCAGCGTAGCATTGTAAACTGTAAATTCACCAAAATTTAGCAGCTGCCATTATTTCACATTAGGTCAAATATGATTTTTGTCAAACTTCTATAAAGCTAGACCAACCAAAAAATGCTAGCAGTGGTGCGACAATTTTTTTCTCGGTGCTTCAATTATAATCCCCCAATTGTAAAAGAAAATAAAATCATCCTGAATCATTTGCATCAGTCAAAAAACAAGTATAAATGCTATGAATGAATGAATCATGATTTATTAACAAATAAACTTTGTTCAAACTTTGTTTAAATAAGTGTGACAATTAAACTAATATGTGTGAAATTGTCCTTTGTCTTTAGCGTTTTTCGGTGTACAATTGGCTCAGGTAGCATTTACAAGCTAAACATGGGCACAAACAACGCTGAAGAACATGTACAAACCACTCTGTACTGCGAAGTCACTGTTTTGTGTCAAATCGAATCATTCTAAATTTATGAAAATAGCTTTTGAATCAAACTGGAAACCAGCAAATTGCGAATCAAATCAATTTGCTGTCGACTCAAAGATTTACACCTCTACTAGTTCCTATGAAAAAACACATTTGTGGGTGGCACATGGGTGGGCCAATTACTTTAAGTTTATTTTAGACAGAATCAGTATCAGACTGTGCATGTCTGTTAACACAAGCAATAAATATAAAACCTGTATTCACCATTCTCTACACTCACTGGAGGATGGAGACAGCAGAAACGTCTACCTGAATGCAGTCTAGCATGTCTTATTTTTGTAAGAGCCATATAAATCACATAACAGGAGGAAGAAAAACACACGAGACATATGTAGCAAACAGAAACAATGCGCTCTGTTCAGACAGACAGTCATAAATACACACACACATAGATGGTTGAGGCTGTGGATAAGATAAGGCAAGTGAGATAGCCTACTGAATGAAAAAGAAGAAAACAGGTATGAAAACCAGTATGTAAATGGCATGAGTGAGCATGTGTGTGAGTATGAGAATGTTTTACATATCAGGTTTAGGTTCTGATATCAGGATCATAGAGCTTTCAGCATTAAAGTAACCTTTACATGTACTGTACCTATTTTATTAAATTAAACTCATTCACACACACACACATACACACACACACACACAAATGCAAATTCTGTACACAGTCACTTCTGATATGTCAAGATCTACAGGGAAGAGAAAAAGTCCTCCATCGCTCCTACAGGAGCACCAGCCATACCAAATAAGGAGAGAGGGGGAGTGTTGGGGAGAGAGAGAGAAAGAGAGAGAGAGGGGAAGAAAGAGAGGGAGGGAGGGAGAAGTCATCTGTTCTCTGTTTCTGGAGATTGGGCTGATAAAACAACTAAATGCTTAGGGTCAACCAGAGGAATGTGGAACACACCACACACACACACACACTGCACACTCTTCACTGAGGAGTCAAAACTGGAGTTCAGAACTAGGCTAGGATTGAGTGTGTCTGTGACTGTTTTGATAGGATGACACTGCGAGTGTCATTTCTTTCCTCTCTCAACTCCCTCGCTCTTCATCACTCTTTCTCTTTTTCGAGTATTACTCAGCTGCTGCAGTCTCCTGGGGATACAGCTTATCAGAATGTGAAAGTAGACAAAGAACATGAACACATCATCAGCGCCATCAATGTCCAACACAGAACCACACACATATATAAAACTACAAATAGAGTCAAAGGGACGACAGAAGGTGAGGGGCAAAAGGTACATGAGCGTGTGTGTTTATATTGAGAGGAAATAGTATGCATTCCTCTCTAGAGAGGCCCAAAGGCCACCCTTCTCCTAGAGCTTGAAATACAGCTCACACTGGGTTCGGTTGGGTTCGGATGCCATTTCTCAAGTATGTGTGGGGCTCAGGTGGAGTTAAAATTTTATGCTTGGGTTGTGAAAGCCAACCATTTTTGACATATTTTGACCTTTACTTCTCCCTGCTTTCATTTTTCTCTAGGGCTGGGCAATAGGACAATATTTATTGATACTGTGATAAATTACATCACAATATGTAAAAATCTTCTTTTCAAAGCATACTGTAGACATTGTCAGTGCTTAAAAACACTTCCTAACTGCGTGTTTGATTACAAAGCAAATGCAATTAGTCCTGGTTAGTTGGATTTAGAGCAGCACAGTATGCAAAATGTGGACTACAAATTATTGCATGCATATTTTTTTTAAATATGACACTACTTTGACCTTTTCAAATTATCAGATATCAGAAAAAATGTATATCCTGACACATCAATTAACATGAAAACTTCTTGAAGTATCCTGATATTACATTTTTGCCATATTGCCCACCTCTCTACCTTTGTTACATTAAAGCAGTTTTTAATCTGGCATGCTGGAGACACCTACTCTTTGTTGTTGACAGAATTTAGCACCAAAGTCCCTGTGGAACTCTTTTTTATATTATTTATCTATGATCTAATGATGGCTATCGGCTATTATTGTCACTACACAGTATGTAACCAGCGCCAAAACGTGAGGTTTAATTCTGTACTTTAGAAGATGGTTTGGGTTAGTTTCGGACAGAATTTTGACTGGCTTGGGTCAGTTTCAGACTCAAAACTTGATAATGTGGCTCGGGTTAGGCTAAGTTGGGTAACGGAAATTTTGTGAGGCTCAGGTTGATTTTGGACCAAAGTTTGAGACCCAATTAAAGCTCTTCCTTCTCCCTCTCTATCTCTTTCCCTCCCTCGTTACCCCTGTCCCACTCCCACTGCCATACATGCCACTCTACTGACTGCTCCTGAACACTCAGTGTCACTAACAGATGCACCTACAGTAATGCTGTGAGCTTCCAGAACCATAATAAACACCCTCAGGCACACATACACACTTTTGTGAGAAGAGCATCTGGAATTCTATCATTTATTTAAGCCCCCACTAAATAGAGCAGCAGTCTTTTGTTTTGGTAGTTGTTTCCACAGCAACACAACTGGCTGTCCTGCAACAGAAACACTATCATAGACAGTATGACCTAAAACTTTGCTAGTGGTTTTATAACAATGGCATAATAACATTAATAGAAATTATACAACAGATTGAAGAGAGTTCTATCAGTGTTGTTATATCTCATAGCAGCACCTTTTTTCACCATACCTGTATCATTCCACCAAACACCAGTTGCTAAGGAACAACAATGATCACTTAACTCTAAGCTGCTGGAACCACTTCAGTGTTTCCCACAGGTCTGAAACAAACCTGGTTATAGCACCATGGGGGGAGGGATATTGTGGCGGGGGTGTTTCAAAATATGGATACCTGAACTCATTATATTATTTTTTCCTTGTTCTGGTTTTCAAATAAGGCATTATATAAAACTTAAATCATCCATGATTTCCTTTTTAGATGTGCAGCACCTTATGGACATGGGTAAAGTGGTTTTAGTTCACAGAAATGGAATTAGGAATTTGTTCAAATAGGAACAAATGTACATTGGATATTGTTGAAACGGGAGGACATACATTTGGGTGTTGTCTGTGGAAAACACTGTACTTTTATGCAGAAAAAACTGCCCCTGTTAAAACAACATATCTGAAACATTTTTAGGGGTTTCTTTGTTTTACTTTACACTGAAAAATGATTAAAAAGTATCACATGGATTCACAGTAATAGAACAGATCACATCAACACAATTGCTATCTTTAAGGTTGCATTTTTTGGCAAGAATTGCGCTGTAAAAATTGTCACAAATTTTGTTGATGTGCAAACACTTTTGATCATGTAAATTCAAAGCAGCATTGTTTTCAGAATACATTCAGCAAAATAAGCCACATGCTAGCTAGTCACCAGTAGCAAGCAGTTGCCTCTACTGTCTTCACCCTGTGAAATAATGAGCCTTTCACACAAACATAACAGTCTGTGGTCATTTGTTTTAAATGACAAAAATCATAATACTCTCTGATAATAGATAGAACTAAGGCTTAAGAGATTAAATTCCTTTCTAAGTCCTTGAAAAAAATTATCAGGATATTGGATACTTGGCCTATATTTCAAACTGATATTTGATGACATATTTATTGTACTCTGGAAGAGCGGAATATTTGGGTTATTGTGCTAAAATGTCTGCATTGTATACATTTTAATAATCTGCATCTGTAACATTATAAATTAATGTTTTATGTAATATTAGCAATCCAGGTAGATCTAGACTCAGTATCGTCATCTGCTTTGGCCAACATGTGCATGAAAAGCACTGGAAATCCTTATCAGCCCAAATACGTTTCCTACCAATTTGGATTTCTGGATTCACTCTGGATGGCTAGCACACTCTCATTTTCATTTATCTGTGCAAGCTAACCAGCTGCCCAGAGCAGAAAGAAACTTGTTCTGCATCAGGCATTATGATGAGTTATTATGCAAAATCTGCTTTCAGTTTTTTTTAATGTCTTAGGCGTTTCATATCATTAAGGAATATTTAAAAATGTAAAACAATATTTGCAAAAATATTTGAAAATGAAAATATTTCATAGTTGCAGCCCTAAAATGGTTGCATAAAAGTTGCAAACACCCTCCAGCTCATGTGTGTGACCATATCACGGCCTTGAAGTTATTCATGGTAACACATTCCCTCTCGTGTTCTATTGCTTAAACAGGCTACTCTATTAATTATAAAAACTTGCCCCATTGAGAAAATGTAGTAAATCCCAAACTGTTGCTTCAAAAAGCGAAACCTAGGAAATGAAAACATCCTCCTCATATTGTTTCCATGGCTACAGAAACCATTTTTCCTGGGGGATATTTCAACTTTGACCCTTAAGTCCAGCATCATTCACTCAACTTCCTCTGGATGAGCTTAAAATAGACCAGCAGAGACCAGCACTCACACAAGTAAGTATGCATATGTACATCTTACCCCTGAACTTCTTTGGTGGGTTATTCAGGTCTCCAGCGTCTGGCTGGACAACACAACGATCATCAACCAACCTTAGAACAAAAAGACAAAAGGATGATTTAGGGGGTTTTGAAATGTGTATGTATGTGTACAAAAAGAGAGCAGCAGAGAAAGAGAAAGCATGCATGTGGGTGTGTTAAGTGGAGGGGGGCTAGGGGGGCAGCTTCATTCCTCAGGACAGATTTAGCCATTTCTGGTTCAAAACAACAGCCTGCTGGATATCGTCCAAATCCCACGATCAGTCAGCCGCAAACACACACACAGACATACAACAGCATGAAACTGTTGACAGCTAGGTTACACAGTTCTAAAATCACAAACAACACAGCTATCTGCAAGGTGTTAACTCCTAAAATAAATAAATGTTTTAGTGAACTTTATAATGAACTATGATTAACTGTTTCAGTGAACTAATGTTTCAGTGACTGGTAACACTGCATTTCTGATCCAATTCAGTGAAGAATGATTTAAAACATGTTTTTTCAACAATTTAACAATACAGCAACTTCTTAACATAATCACAATTTAACAAATACTTAAAACAAAAGTCTACTTGAATTTTCATTGACCTGCTCATCAGTGATGTTACAGGGTTATGAAACATTTGTAAAGGAAAAAGGAATCTTCCTAAGCTACAAACTAGAAAACTACTTTATCTTGTGTTCAAGATCCACCTTTAGGAGGGACATCTCTCAAGTCAATGTTTCAGAGAACTGGGGTTGCACTAATGGTAACCTATTGTTTTGAAGTCCACGTTAAGGAATTAGCTAAATCTAAGGGAACAATGGTAATCATTTCCAGAGCATGCGGATGCTGAAGCACTGAAATGTTGAAACTGAAGTTCGAGTGTTGATAGATCTCTCTCCTGCTGATTCAGCTTGTTGGGTAATCATTTTTCCTAAGAAGGAAATCAGCTGTCAGCTGAAAATTCTTCAAAATTAAGACTAAGATACTGTTGGCCTTAAAGAAGTGTCATATTTCATGAACAGTTTTGTGACTAATGTTGAACAGAAACTGGCAGGATGTTATTGAGACACATGTAAAGATGTAGTTAAACACTACACTGTAAATGAGGCACGGTAAAGGATCCTGTAAACACAACACTAAAAAGTCACAAAAAAGCAGGTCAGAGTACTTTCTGAGCACCTGAACATTGGGGGTTTAAAGGAATGTTTTGTGAAAAATTACCTTCTAAATTAGTGAAATAAAGCAGCTTATGAGACATTTTACTTGTTTTCACCAATACTAACCATAGTAAAAAAAAAAAACATGAAGCTGCCTAGATAATGTTCTACTCCCATTACTATAAATGCCCCAATTGGAACTACTGGTAAAGTCAAAGCATGAAATGTAGTCAGGAATTTGAACAGGAACTTTTTACACATGCACAGTATAACAGTATAACCAATGCAATCACTGATGTGTCTTTGAGTTTCAAGCTTACATTCAAATGGTATGAGGGGTTAAACCTGTTTCTGAAAGCAGTTCAGTCCATTAAGTGTCAAAATGGAGACACTGCTATGTTGGGATCAGGGTGTTTCCTGTCATTAAACTCATCTACGATTGCATGCAAATTAGACTTAAAAATATACAGCCCTAAAATACATTTTGTAAGACATTTTTCACATCTTCTGCACCCTGACAAGACCAGCATTAAAGAACTCACCACAGTATGTACTGTACAATGTAAGCAAACATACCCCAGAGTACTGATGAAGCCACTGGTGGATCCCTCAGCGTATAGGGAGCAGATGTCCCCAATGTGCAGAAAACTCGACATCTTATCCACCATGGCAAGAACACCTCCACCTGCAGCAGTGGCAAGAGGTCAAAAGTTAAAAAGAGTCAGCAACAATGACGCATTCAGTGCAGATAAAAGCAATGAGTTAATGAGGAAAGGAAACGTCAGTAAAACACTGCTTTAGAATATTGGAAATGCCGTAGTGAATCTTCAGAGTGAAGAGTAAGTTACGGGTGGAACATTTTCGTCCAGATTTTTTTAATTTTCTCAAAGACAAGACTTTCATCTGAAAACCCCAGTTCACCCTTTCCAGAGCAAAACAGCACAATCAGCTCCACAGTTTAGTTGTGAATGACTGGCCTGTCAGTAAGCAAACAACAAGGTGACCTATTATGGTATTTCCACTGATCTGTGCATCTTAAATTGGACACTATGTTTACCTTGATGGGTTTCATAATGGACAGAACAATCTGATAGTGAGTGCCCATTTATCACAAGAACTAGTTTTAAAGTATTTATAGAGATTATTTAAGATATAGTGAATTATTAATTAAATAAGCAAGTTCACAGCAACGTCTCCATTTAAACTACATCAAAGAAGCAGCTGTACTGCCTCAGAGAACTGGATAAAACCTTTTATTCTCTCACATCTAGAAGCTTCAGTAGAAGATTTAGTCACTCTTGCTCAATCATCTCAGATCTGCTCACTTTACTTGTGCAAATTCTTTAAGACATCATTTTCAGACATATAAAATAGAACAAATAAATGGCTTGGCACAGAAATTAATGACTAAACCGTTGCAATATAAGCTTCCAAAGATCTATCCAGAGTGTTTACAAGAAGAACGTTATGATATTGAAAAGAATGCAAAAATGTCATTGGTTTATTTTACTTTCTATTTTTATTTGCTCTAATCTACGCTTAAGGAGTCAGGCTGCTGTACTATCTATGTAGAAAGACACTTGAGGATGATGCCAAATAAGGTTGATCAATAAGTTTCTAAATCTCAAGAGTTCCTTCCACTAAAACCACATTGCACTTCCCTTCTTTATTTATTTTTTTTATACCGGCTTTAATTTACTTTAAATATCTTAGGGAACACACTGATATTTGTGATGTCCACACTTACTTAGTGTAACTTTCTGTGATGAATGGAACTACACAGTGAATTTACATAAACCAACTACTCATTACTTCAGTTTGGTAATGACTTAATTAAAAGGATTAAAGGCCACTTAAATCAGGGTAACTGTTTGTTTTACATAATTAACAGAAACAGAATAGAGTTCGGTTTGACTTGAGAGACTAAGACAGATGCTCAGTTTGGCTTCTGTGTGGAGCAAAACGTGTGGATTTACATTGAATTGACTGGCATTTCAACCAGTTCACCTGCACTAATGTTAAAAACAGATTGATGCACCTAATAAATAATACTTTTCATATTAAAAACTTTTCTTTATGAGACCCACTATCTGGATTTGCTGAACAAAATCTGATGTGATCTACTGAGCTCATAACTTTGTGTGGCATCAATCATACACACTTCACCCTCCACACTGCTTTCAGCTTGGACAAGACAGCAAAAAAAAGTTAGATCTGAAACATAAAGAAGTTACTGGATTTTGACAGGGTTTACTAAATCACACTGAAATATTGCAAGGAGAACAAACCTTTAAATCAACCAGTGGGACTGAATCACTGTTGATGCGCTTAACATTCGCTGGAGAGTTTCAAGGAATTCTACAGGGCTTGCAGAACTTAAAGAATTTGAGTACATTTTTTTAAAAACGGTCCTTTAATTCAAAAGGTAAAAAAGATTTGTTGTTTTACAGGATTTAAAGAAGTATGCAAGTGTGATGCCTTATTTTTTTCAATGAATAGTGCTTTACACTTCAAACAGAATTTCAGAACCTTTAACAGAATGAAAGACACGGATCATTGGGCCTCATTCACCAACCGTTCTTAAGAAGAAATTTTTCATGGAGACTCTGACATTCACTAATGTTTTCTTATTTAGGATTTGTTCTTAGGTAAGAACAGAATCTAGACACTCAAGAGCACAAGGTGCAAACAATTCTGCAGTTTAAAAATGTCATGAATCTGACATAGACTTTTTCTGAGGACCTTTCTGAAGAACAAGTTTATGAAAAAACTTTCATAGATATTGGTGGATGAGGTCCATTGTTCTGTTAGAGGTTCAATTACTCAAAATTGTAAGGAAGCCCAGGTAATTATTTTTTTAAATTGAACACTAACACTTTTTACAGTGTATGGTGTGTTACAGACTTCTTTCAAAGAGAACAGTCTCTGTTCTGTTACCTACTCCCTTCATCTCACTGTCTGACATCTCTTACCATGAGCTCCACAGATTCCCCAGGTATATCTACCAAGTTTGCATAACAAATAAGGAGCCACACATGATGAAACTCTCTGTACTTCCACTTCCTCTGACCGTTCAGTACACTAGGCAGCGGAGGAATTTGCATAGGTCTGTGTAGAGGGTTTTTCTGGTACAGCTAATAGTGAAGCCTTATATGTGATGGACTTTCACCAAGGAACCAAGTAAAATCTGAAATTTCAGCAGTTTGAACACACTGTTGCCAGATATCACTCATAGATTTCTCCTTACCTGCGAGAGAGTTTTTGTTTAAAAGTATATATTTCATTCACACATCTTTTCTGTAATATCTTAGGAAATACTTTTCACATCACAGATTATTCTACAACACTGCACCTGTAGCTGCTCCTCTGAGTCTCACTATCGGAGCTGCAGGTTACACAGCGGATATAATGAACGCAGGCAGAAGGAAAAGACTTCAGACGTCAGCGCTTTGCCTTTAAACTGTAATCTCAACAAAATTAACTGCTCTCTGACCGAAAAAAACTAAGCAACTAAGCTAAACTAACATGCCAAAAAAACTGCTGGATTTACCACGCCACGGAACATTATAGTGATTAATCAACTGACAGCGTAATAAAAATATTTAAAAGTGAGTGTTTAACGCTTTAAGAAAGGCATTTTGAAAACGACTTTTCTGTTTTAACCCCAGAGCAGCTTCTCTGAGGACCGTTTCCTAGTTTCCTAAATGGACTTACCGGAGAGGTCTAAAAGTCTCCAATTAGGTTTTTATTCTCAAGAATTACACATATACAGTGCCAAACTGGGATAATTCAGAGAAAAATATACAGTAAAACAACTTTTTCTCTCAATCCTTTTCCTGACTGAGAGGCGGGCAGCCCGGCTGTGGTGAGCGCGATGCTCTCTCATAGATAAGATAAATATTTAGGCTAATAAAAGGTGATGCTCAGGCAGAGAAACCTCTCACTCTGGCGCATTTTCGCATTTTTTTTCTTTTACCTCACGGAGTTGAACTCGACACGATACTGCACGGGTCGCTCAGTGGATTTGTCTAAAAGTTTCGTCCTCCTGAAAAACCATAATCCCGAGACTCCGGAGAGCACCAGCTAGTCAGAGAACGGTCCATCCATCGCCCCGTTTTTTTTCGTCTCTTTTCGGCTCGCCGAGGCGCCTCACAGACTGTAAACCGCGACGGAATTCTGGGAAATTGTGTTTCTGCAGTTCTGAGGCGGAGCCGTTAGTGACGCCACCGGCTTTCGTCCAGGACTACAAAACCCACAATCCCATACAATTCATTTTTCGTGGGGGGAAAAACTTTTTTATTTATGTTGATGCCAAGAAGGACAGCGAAACAGAATTTCACAGCTATGACATAACGCACTAGCTTGTATAAGGAGCAAAATTATGTAAATGAGAAATATTCAGTAATAGTCGACAATTGTAACCTTAAAGTTTAAAAAGGAGGAAAACGTCTTGTCTACACGTTGTGCTTCGTCTCTTGGCAAATTAACGAATTTTCTTATGGTGGCCTGTCATCTTCCCTTTTTCACATATTTACCATTTGCTGTGATTTTAATATGTTAATATAAAAAAAAACCAGAGCAAACACGCATGTAATCTGCGCCAACGTCGGGGCCTGTCCCGTCACGTCTTTGGAGACACTGTGTTTTCAATTTTATTCTAGAATAAACAGAAAAAAACTGTCCTTACGCTAAAAAAAGAAAAGAAAAGAGAAAGAAATAGGGTCAGATGACTGATCACGTGACCCAGTTCTTAAAGATGGCTTCACACATGTAGGAAAGGAGAGATTCTGAACATCTGAACATGGCTTTGTCACTGTGGACGTGTGGAGCGTTTCTCAGTGCGATCTGTGTCTCGGTGCAGTTCGCTGTAAGCGGGCTGGAGGCTGGATCAGGTCCAGACTGCGGCTGCAGTTCTCTGAACAGAGAACCGAGCGAGGGAAAACATCCGAGCTGCGAAAATCCGGCAGATAAATACTCTGCAGTAGTAAATGAAAAATCATCAGACCATGGCACGCTCAGCAAGGTAACACTGGGGTCCTCACTGCAGTAAGTTACATAACAGTCCGATCAACATAAGGGCTAATTGCACTAAATGCGCGCCTAGTCCACCCTGTGTTTCGCTGCAAGAAATGTAAGAAAATTGTGGGTCAGATGTTTCACAGAAGGGAAAGGCTTCTGAAAAAGAGTATGCAAACAAGCTGGTTTACACATGTAAATTCGCTGTTATCCTAACGTGCGAATTGTGCATCCATGTGTTACTCCAAAAGAAAAGAAAGCACCAACATTAGTGTGTGTGTGTGGGGTCATATATGTCTTAAGTGTATTTTGAGCTTAAGATAAATACTTAAAATGTTTTATGCAAGTGGCCAATAGCCAATAAATACTGTTATTGTGTATATCCAACTTTTCTAGTTAATAATGTTTGTTGAGTCATGAATCAGTGCTTCAGTAATGCCAAGGATCCAGCCCCCCCCACCTCTCTCTCTCAATGCACTTAAATTAAATTTAGAATAGCTTTATTAGCATGACTGTAAGGTACAGTAATGCTAAAGTATCACACCAGTAGCAGTGAACAATGAAAACGGAATAAGATAGAAAAGAACCAACATAAATAATAACCATATTAATTATCATTATTATATACTAATTCTCTCTCTCTCTCTCTCTCTCTCTCTCTCTCTCACTCTCTCTCTCTCTCTCTGATGGACTAGATGGTGCTGCTGCAGGGCAGTTGGTTCCTGATGGGTACAGATGAACCAGGGATACCTCAGGATGGGGAGGGGCCTCAGAGGAGGGTGTGGCTTGATCCTTTTCACATTGAAGAGCATGAGGTCACAAATAAGCAGTTTCAACGCTTTACTAACCAAACAGGCTATGTGACAGAGGTAACAGATATACACACACATATGGGCACGCACAGATATTAAAGAGTGTGATGGTGGTCTAACAGTTACTTTGTGTTCAGGCGGAGCGTTTTGGAGACTCCTTTGTGTTTGAGGGATTGCTAAGTGAAGACATCAAGAGTACTCTGTCTCATGCGGTGAGAGAGTATGAGCTTTAAAGATGTCAAAATCAAAAGCATTTCACTGTAATCCGTTTAATTATATTCCCTGTCTAGTTTGTCTACGATGTTTTTAGTGTCATAGTACTGTTTTTTGAATGCACACATGCACTGAAGCCCAACTCATAATATTTCTAAACAAAAGTACTTATTGTAAAGTACTTTTGTTTAGAAATATGAGAAATAATTCTGAACAACAGTAATTGTGCTTATCACAGACGGAAATACATCACATCACAAATACCTTTAAACGGCCCATATCCTACATTATTCTTGTATTTTATTTTTTTTTGCTTAAAGAGGTCCACTTAAGACATTTGTGTGGTTTTATATACCTAAAGCAGTCATAATTTGTTTTTAGGTGGCAATTTTCCAACTTCTTTTTATACCTTAGAATTAAACAGGCTGTTTTTGTAACTTTAAGACAGGCATATGTAAATGAGCTCTTTGTCTAATTGGCTCCCTTGTAGCTGGTCCTGTTTTAAAAAGCAGTCCAGGTTGAAACACTCTTTATAACTTTGGCATGAATGGATGGAGCTAAACTGCTGTAGACCAAACAAGTCGATATATGTAAACATGATGGTTAGTGTGACATCACAAAAACAGTAAATTCACAACAGTCTGTCTTGACAGTTTAGTTTACATATATGGACTGTGTGGACTATGGAGTGAATGGTATGTTTTGAAATTTTAACAATTTGTACATACTGCGTCAAACTTACTTTAAAAAAGTTTTCCATGATTTGGGTACTTTACAATAATTTATTTCACTTATAGAAATGTTAGAGTAACACAGTAACATCCATTTGTGCCCAAAGTATCCATTAGTATTTTAGGTTTGAAACTACATTGTGAGTAGGACTTGAATTAGTGTTTGCAGAGCTCTTTGTCTTACTTGTGTATTTTTGCACCTTAATTCTCAGAGCTCTAAATATGGAAGTTTCCATAAACTTTTGCTGAACTGACCACAGGCTTGATATCACAGAGCCTTTGATCAGTGGTCACACTTGTGTTCCACCACCCCTGACTCCCTCCCTCATGTCATGGCAATGTAGTGAGAGGAACACAAAGCTAGAGAGACAAGAGGAGGAAAAGCTAAATTAAAATTTTCTTGATATTGTAAATGGAATGTTCTAAAGAGACACCACTGTGACACGTGATTGTGATCAGTAGGTTGCTGCTGCTCCCTGGTGGTCACCTGTGAAAGGAGCAGATTGGAGACACCCAGAGGGTCCAGATTCAGACATAGCAGACAGGTAAGATTAGCTGGGGTTTTACTATTTTAAAGGGTCCATATCACTTAAACCAGATACCTCCCATTTTCTTTAATAAAAGATTTTGATGTAGTACATAAGATTTGCTAAGGTTTCAAAATGTACCTTTCACTCCACAGTCCACACACAATACACAGTCCATACATGGAAATTATGCTGCTCAATTCATGGCATAATTTGCAGTAAATTCAAGTATAACAGACAAAACATTGGCAATAATGGTAAAATCTTGTTGCGTTTGAAGTTGTAATGTCAAATGGACACTGTAATGAATTTTAGTTACATTTTACTCATTTTGCAGTTCTATCTGCTTTAAGGGTCTTAAAGCAGGTAGTGCTGCTATGAGTTGTATTAACCCCAGTGAGGGGTTTTGCAGCCTGCAGCAGTTAAGCCCTGCCCATTTATATTGAAGTTATAAGGAGTGTTTAATTCCATAATGCTTTTTGAATGATGGCACAATACAGAGCAGCAAATCAGAACAGACATATATCAGTCTTAAAGGGAACAGGAACAGGCAATTCTTAGGAATAAAAAGAGTATGAAAATGGTCATGTAAAAATGAAGTATGATTGTTTTTGGTACATAAACCCACACGTTTTATAAGTCGACCTCAAAGGTAAAAAGAAAATAAAAATGTGTGAAATGGGCCTTTTAATAGTAATATTGTGTTTGGAATAGTATTACTATGACCTAATACTTTCTAATACACCAAATCAAATCCAATTATAGCCACACTCATAATCATTATAAATGTAGTGGGTCCTGGAGAACTTCTGTCTCTGTCATGCTCTAACACGCCTCCTCAACTGTTAAGAGCATGTTAAAAGAGCAGTTAACCCAAAGACAAAAGTTCCCAAGCTTGGAAAAAGAAAAAGACATAGGCATGTGGTCAAGATGTTTGGTGTCTGAAGTTTGTATTTTTTGTTTTGCACTGGAACGATTAATGTTGTACAAAATTTTTGGGGGTGACAGACTTCTGTTATATTAGCCTATTAGCTTCACTTCAAAACTAAGCAAAACTACAGACACCAAACATGTCTTTGCCAATCAGCTGCATTTTATGTTGAGGTTGGCATGTTAGAGCAGTGAAAACTGCTCTAATAAATAAGGCAGAAGTACTCCAGGTAATAAAAGGAATAATTAGATCAGGTTGTAGGCAAATATCTGAAATGTGCAGAGTGGGAAGTACTTTGGACCACATTTAGGAATCACTGGTCTAATCTATTCAAATAAGTAAGTCTGAAATACTTCATTGTACTGTGTATAGGATGGATCACCCTGTACTGCATGTGTCATGGGCTGATGCTCAGGCCTACTGTCAGTGGGCTCAGCGCAGACTGCCCACAGAGGCTGAGTGGGAGTTTGCCTGCAGGGGGGGACTGCAGAACAGGTATTGGTTAGAAGGTTATATACAAGCACTTTGTTCTATATGTGTGCATTTGAGCTGTGTTTCCTCTAACACTCCCTTTCTTTATCCAGGATGTATCCATGGGGGAATAAGCTTATGCCCCGAGGACAGCATTATGCGAACCTGTGGCAGGGAAATTTCCCTAATCACAACACAGCAGAGGACGGATACTCTAAAGCATCACCGGTGAGAGAGTGTGAAATGGCCCTTGCCCTTGAAAACGGAATAATGTTAGTAATCTTGTTTTGGACAGGTGATGTCATTTCCTGCAAATGGTTTTGGACTGTATGACATGGTGGGGAATGCATGGGAGTGGACGGCAGACTGGTGGAATGTTCATCACACAAGAGATCACTCACGCAACCCGGTAAGAGGGCAAAAACTCAAACACTACAGGAAGCTATTAGTCAGACGAATGCATGCCAGTTTACGTTCAGTACAGTGCAAATGTTAGACACCACCCTTCATTTATTAAACTTTTAATAAAAATTACCTTTTAAGTACAAGTGATTCATATTTCAAAAGTAATTTCTGAGGAAATTAGATATAAGATAATCCACTTGCATAAGGATTGGGAAAGTTGCAGGAAAATAAAGGGAAAACACAGGTTTCCAAAACTTCAGAAAATGATTAAAAGATTTCCAGCTGTGTAAGGCCTGGTAGACCACCAAAACTGTCACCTTTAGAAAAGCAGTACTTAAAACTTTCATCTTTGAGAGAGAGAAGAAAATCAAGCTCCACACTTTCTTCAGATCTGAAAAAATCTACAGGTGTTCCTGTACATCCTTCCACTCTGAAAATACAACTCAGCAATATGAGTCTCAGAGGATGTGTAGCTGTTAAGAAGCCATTGTTAAGAAAAAAATAAGAAAGCTTGCAGTAAAACACTGAAACTGGACATCTGGAATGTAGAGTAAGGCAACCAACATCTAAGACTGAACTTTGGAGATTTGAAAAAGTCCTGCAGATTTCTTTTAAATACTGAAAGCAAGTCTCCTGAAACAAAGGAGACTTGCTTTTAATAAAAGTAAAGGGTGGATATTTTGCTTAGTTGTTGAAGCTTCTGTGTAATTTTCTGTTAATTATGCATTTTTCTGAAAAATATTTTGAATGAATAATAATAACTTGTACTTGATGGCCATGACTGGACATTAAATAAATTAAGGGTGGTCTGAGTACTGTGTACACAAATAAACATGACCCTTCATTACTAATCAGTCAAATACCTCATTTGCCTTTTTAATCTGTCTACAGAAAGGACCAGAAACAGGAACAGACAAAGTGAAGAAAGGAGGCTCCTATATGTGTCACAAGGTAACACCCAAATACTCAGACACATTTTATTCTAGAACTCTATAATGCAGGCATAATTTATTCCCCTGCTCTTTATCTCTCTTTGTAGTCATACTGTTACAGGTACCGGTGTGCTGCCCGAAGTCAAAACACTCCTGACAGCTCTGCCTCTAACCTGGGCTTCCGCTGTGCAGCTGACCCGTAACTGTAACTGTGACCTCTGACCTCTCACGTGCCTCACTGTTCTTCACACTGTCATTGTCAATGGGACCTCACTGCGAGACCTTTTTACTATTTTATAAAATGTGTTTTTATCTAAATAAAATATTTAAGGTGGTAGCTGTGGTCACATTTCTTTGGTCAGGACTAAGTTAGCTTTAAAAGGCTGAAATTATTGCACTGTTTGAACAAATGTGTACTATAGCTACAGCCCACATTTATCCTAACTGTTATATTGTTTAATTACATGATTGAGTACATGATTAATCAGTTTTGTCATATTGATATTACTTAACAAAAACATGTTAGTCAGGGAAACTGACTCAATTTTTCCCAATGGCTCCTAGCATCATCTTTTTGCGTATTATTTTACTTCTTTTACTCAGCCTCTTCTTGTTGTCTTCCCCCCTGCTCTACCTTTTCTTTGGTGTGAATATTTTTTATACGTTACAGTAAACTGCCAAGCTACTTTGTTGAATGTATGTGCAAGTTGCCGTGTAACCATGACAGCTCAGTAGCACACTGTAAAAAGTGGCGCGTCAGATGTGCTTAAAAAATTTACTTCATGTAGTAAAAAGTAAATGAACTAGTTTCATTCAACGTGAATAAATACTTTGAATGAACAATACTTTCAATCAAGGTAGCATTTTAAGTTGAATAAAACTAGTTAAATTGCTTATTACCACATGAAATGATTTTTTTAGGTAGGTCTGACGAGCCAATTTTTACAGTGTACAGTAACAACTTGTAGACTGCTGTGATTTATTGGAATTCACTGAGTATATGTTACTCAGTTGAACATCTTCCAAAAGCTACTAAACCCTGTTGCGTGGAAGTAAATCCAACTTTTAATTTTTGCATAATGCATAGAAATAATCAGACGAGTTAACTAGAATTTACTCAAATCACAAGTGTGACAAATGCCATGCAGCTGATGGTGGTCCAGCAAAACATGGCTTTCCTGGTCTTATTTAAGTGTTGCAAGTAGTAGCTCCAGATGAGTTGGTGACTAATAATTGGAAAGTCTTTTTAGTCATTTTAAGAGACACCAGGGTCAGAACTAAATGCAGCATGATGAGAATTTATTGTTATGGATTATTATGCAGTTACAGTGTAAACCAGCAACATTAACTGCTGGCAAATAGGGGACATGTTGGTAATTTAACAGAACAATTTTAATACTACCCCTGAAACAATGAAGGGGCGTGGAGAAGTGAATAACAGGGCTGACTCACAGTTTGCCATGGCGAGTGATGTAACAGATGAACAATGAAATAGTTTCAAATACAAATGAGAACTTCAATCATTGTATTTGATTTGTAGATATATCATAGATTATTAGTTGTCATTAATATTACTCTGATGATGAAAAGGGGGGATAATATGCTGGATTTGATTGGTAGACTTTAATCATTGTTTGCAGGCTATCATGGTGTGGCAGGATAGGCTGATGCAATGTATTTCTTTCCATCCCCGTAAGTAGTCTTATCCCAGGTGTAGGTCTGGATATTCAGCTGCAATCCTCCTAAACTCAGGCGACACCTGTAAAGGCAGAAGATGTCATTTACACTTTTGCATTCTTTGGTTAAATGCATGGTTTAAAAGACAGCTTGATAAGTGCGCAGCAGTAGGGAGGAGGTGGAGAAGTGGATAACACGGCTGACTCACAGTTTGCCAGGGCGAGTGATGTAACAGAGTGAGTAGACAGCCAGGTCAAACTCAGGACTACTGCCGATGATGGCAGAGCCAACCTGCTTATAGTAACCGTCCCACATAAACTGCATCCCCAGCACATCAGGATAAGACAACCACTGAGAGGCAGGGAAACAGAAAGAGAGAGAGAGATCATAACACAGATGATAACATTGTGATTAACCAGCCTAATGTTAACATGGCTATAAATTACATTACCTGTTACCAGCTTCAGACTTCAAACATTAAACATTCCTGGCTGATTGTCCACATTTATACTAACAGGAAAACTGTAAATCAAATTTTTTAGCTGGCCTGCCACTTTAAGGGCACAGACATTCTTCACTCTCATTACTATGTAACTTACTTATGAGCAATTACTGCATAATTTCTAACAGTAATAATAAATAGAATTAAATGAACACACAGACAGCAGTATGTGCAGGTGAAAACTCACAGCGCCATCAAAGCTGTGACTGTAATAATTGAGCAGGCCTTGTTTCTCCAACAGGTAAAACCTGACCCAATTATGGAACCCAGACACTTTACCATCCTTAATCTCCCCTGTAAGTAAAGCAACCTCATTAATATACAAGCACTGCTTACAACATGCAAACCTTAAAGATATGAATAGCATACGTAAACTTGAGACATTAGAAGAATTAAAACATTGGCAGAGACACACTGACCTGAAAAGATGTGCTCAAAGCCGCTGGAGTCCATCTTGCCACTGCTACGGGAGTAGAGGCCAAACCACATCATCTTCAGATCCTCCAGAAACTCCTCCCAGGAACTGTAATAGCCTGCCATCCAACACAACACTCAAATAAGCACACAACATTGTGCAGCCAATGTCCAGTTTAAAAGGAGAGGCTTAGTCAGGGGGTCTATGCTTTACAGCATTTTAATATGATCAGTATAATCAGCTTCATCACCTGTAGTCTAAAGGTTCACTCTCAGCAAAAAAAGGTACTGAAGGTCACTGAAGTGGTACCCTGCTTGTCACTGGGGTGGTACCCTCAAGGGTACGTCTCATTACCTTTAGTTAGGGAACATAACTGTACCATAATCCATTGCGATTTTTTTTTTAAGTTGTAGTAACTCAACATACCCTGTCCTGTCTGAAGGCTTTTTATTTTATTGGTCTGTTTTAAAATATCAGGTTATGAAAAGGTACATATATGTACCTTCCCCCTGGGAAAAATTTATTTGAGATATACAATTGGACCTTAAAACCTTTGCTGTAACTTTAAGGGAACATTTACATTGTTTGTACCTTGATGAACAGAAAATGTTCATAACAATATAAGTGTAATCATACTAGTCCTTTAGTAAGCATAGTGTTATATTAGATCTGTAATAACATTGGAGACCTTGTGTGTGTATTTACAAGCAAATTTAATTTGTAACTACAACACCATTCTAGTATGTTCTAGCAGATGTGAATATGTAATCAATAATTCCCAGTGCCTCTTCCAGTGCCACTGTGAGTGTAGCACATTATCCTAATAACTTATTTTTCAAAAATACTAATATGGAAGTCATGAAATTGTGAGAGTGAGAGGTTAAAGTGTGGACCCTGGTGATCTGCTTGATGTATCAAAAACGATTACAATTCATTTTAACCCTCTGTTGCACAATGTTGCCCCAGGGCAACAAACTCATTATACAGATTTAAAGACAACGATGGGGTTGACAATAAAGGGAAGAGTTTGAGTAAGTCAATAAAAACATGTACTTAGTCATACTATAGTCCTACTACTATCTCTTAGTGGGCACTTTTAAACCTCTTTTTTAACATTCAGTATCAATCTTTTTTTGTTATGAGAATTTGGAGAAAAATGTTTGTGGCCTAGAAGCAACATTGTGCAACAGTGGAATGGATTTAGCCAGTCACAAGCCAGGTCTCACCACTTCAGGGAACACGACTCTATATAATTTCTTCCCATTGTCGCACAATGTTGCCAAACCCCTGCACACATTACTTTTTTTAATGTTTTTGAATTTAATAATCAGGTCCATTTCATGGAGGAAAAGTGAAATGGATATTTTAAAAAAGTGGGTTAACATGACCAATTTCTGACATATCTTGGATGTTTTTGTTACTGTGCCTTAAAATGATCTTCTCATTGGCTCCCATGTATTCATGGTCCAGGCATGGTCCTATGTGTCCAGGCAAAAATCAATCTGGGCTGAAACACGCTTTATAATATTGGTGTAATTAAGAAAAGCTGCTGTAGGCTGAATAGGTGGGCATATGTTTTTGTGGCATCATAAAAACACTGTATTCCAAAGCAGGTCATTTTTGCAGCTTAACCTTCATATATGGACTGGAGAGTGAACTGATTTAAAACTTTTACAATGTTTAGAACGTGAGAATAATTCATGATCATGAGCCTTTAAGAGGTTAATGTCTGAGGGAGTAGAGACCTTTTGTGTTGAGGAAGGAGTAGAGCTCTTTGCCCAGATTTGTGTTCTTCATGGTTTCCTTGAGGAACTTCTCTTGCTCCTGTACCTCCACTGAGCTCACGCTCTCCGACACTCCTGTCTTCCTCTCATAGTTATCCAGCAAAGCGATAAAAGCTTTATACGTCGGCTTAGAGAAGAGAGAGGCCTCATTCACTTGCTTGAACAAACTGGAGGATGCAAGAAACAGAAAGAGAGCCAATCAATAATTGAATTGTCAGGTGGCAAAACTTTCGTAGTGATAACCGAACCCAAACTCCAGGGAGTGGCGTACAGTCTGACTGGTTCTGGCCTCTTGATCTCTCATGAACAACAACACTAAATGTGACCAATTTATGCTTGGTAGTTAAGATTCACTGGAAGGAAATAACATGATTCATTGCTTTTATTACCTTAAAATCTAGGCTTATAATTCAGTTATTAATCTTAGGACTTTTTCTGTAACTTATCCAGTAACTATTATGGAACTAGTCATGTAGTTATGAGAGTGAAGAACTGGAGTGTGGACTGAGGGTTTGCACAAACCTTTGAGTTTTAAAAGGTTAAAGTAGATGTCCACTGAGGCATGGGATATAAGTAAGTGAGTGTAAAAAAGCTTAATTTTCTTTTATTAAAACCAAAATAGTAAAACTGCACCACTGTTGAAAAAATTGGAGGTGTTTCTGTCCTTCCTTCCACTGTGAGACGACAACTGAACACTACATGTCTTAAACGATGTGTAGCTGTCAAGAAGCCATTACTAAGTAAAGGAACTAGACAGAAGAAAATTTGCTAATTAAAGAAAGAAGCTGCTGGTGTTATTAGAACAATGGACTGACCACCCCAGAGTCCAGACCTCAACATCACTGAATGTGTTTGGGAAGACTTGGATTGTGAGAAGCAAAAAATGCAACCAACTGAACTGAAACTTCGGAGGTGTGAAAAAATATCCCTGCAGATTTCTTCTTTTTTGCTTTTTT